GAAGAGACTGATCATTAGAACTAGGGGTAATCTGGTCCTTACCGTGTAGCCTGCAGCATGAGCTGTATGAATACAGTAACATCATGTCACTCAATGTCTTTCATGTTGTTTACAACATGTCATCATAGACCTGTTATGCTCTCTGTGATCTCTGTTGTCTACCCAGTGTACCCATGTGATCGTCCAGTCCAGCCACATAACGTCCTCAGAGGACAGCCCAAGCCTTCTGAAGCCTTCTCAGAATGATGCTCTGGCCTCTGTGGCCTGGCTGCTAGGATACCGTGTGAACATGTTTACTAGTCAACTAGTCAGTCTCCGTGACAACAGCGGAGAAGTTTAGCCTCACGCTGCGCACTCTAGTTGTTTTGCGGAAATCTGCCCGATACTGCTGTTTTGAGTTGTGCATCACCTGACTCTAAAGTAGTGGACCTACAACACCTAGGCCTAAATAGCTTTTTATATGATCCATCTTGTGTTTACTAACTCAACCCTGAGGTAAATTGACGCCCTCAAACTGCTAAACCTAATTGGTATTTAATCCCAGCTTGTTGTGGTTGACAGTCAGTCAGTGTAGTGGCTAATAAGCTTGGCCAAGCAACATCCTTGACTGAGGCACGGCGTGACTTCATTACCCAAATATAAAACAAACAACAAACAGATCAAGCTTGCCCTCCTCCTGGATCATTGGGCACTATATTTAGGCCTATCCAGAGACAGTGCTGTTAAGGTGTGGTTTTGTAACACACTGGCCCTGTGTATAGAGGATTAGACTGTGTACGGGTGATAAGCCGTTACCATTAAGGAGAGTGGAGAGAGATAAGTTAGGCTACGAGGAATTGTTGTTCTGTTGTCTGCCATGTGTTGCTGTTGTCTATGGTATCCTGATTCATTTAGTCAGTTATCAAGTGCTAGTTTTAATGTAAGCCGAAGACTTACAAACCAACCAATTGACTTCCCAAACCTCAAATCCAGGTCTGGTCTGTTTGGTCTACATATCCTGAAGTATTGGCTGCTCGGGACTCTGGGTTTAAAACTATGTGTGTACGTGCTCCTCAACGGCCATAGCTTGTCGATCGGTCCCTGGTACACAAATCTAACTGGTCTCTAAGGTCTTATGTTTGGGTCTCGTGTTAGGCTTGTGAGAGACTAATGTGGTGGTTTGGTTTGGGTTCACTGTTTTTTTTTGTGGGGAATGATTGACTGTGGTGTGTTGTTTGTAGTTGGCTGTGAGCGTGTCATTGGTTTGGATGATGTGTGTTTTGATGTTGTGGATGTCACTTGGCTTTATGTGTGTTTTGTGGTTGGTTGGTCATGTGTTTGTGTTTGTGGTCGGCTTGTGGTGTACTTGTAGAGGATCAGTTGGTGGCTTTGAGATGTCTTGGTCTTTGTGAGTGGTGTGGTTGGTGTTTGGAGTTTACTGTGGTTTGGTGTGTTGATGGGATGTGAGAGTGTCCTGTGGTGTTGTGAGATGTGTGTGGTTGGGTTGTGGGAGTGTCACTGTGTGTTTTGTGATGATGTGTGTGGTTGGCTTGTGAGAGTGTCCACTGTGGTGTTTGTGATGTTTGTGTGGTTGGGCTTAGGTGTCATTAGGGTAATGGTGGGATTGGGGTTTTATAGTTGTTGTGGTGTTTGTGATGTGTGTGTGGTTGGTTGGGTGTGAAGTGGTCACTGTGGTGTTGTGATGATGTTGTGTGGTTGGGCTTGTGCAGAGTGTCATGGGGTTGTGATGATGGTGTGGTGGGGGTGAGGTGTCACTTGGTGTTTGTGATGATGTGTGTGGTTTGGGCTTGTGAGAGTGTCACTGTGGTGTTGTGATGATGGTGGTGGGCTGTGGACTTGTGAGAGTGTCACGTGGTGTTGTGGTTTGGTCTGTGATGAGTGTGAATGATGTGGTGTGGTTGTTGGGGCTTGTGAGAGTGTCACTGTGGTGTTTGTGATGATGTGTGTGGTTTGGGCTTGTGAGAGTGTCACTGTGGTGTTTGTGATGGATGTGTGTGGTTTGGGCTTGTGAGAGTGTCACTGTGGTGTTTGTGATGATGTGTGTGGTTTGGGCTTGTGAGAGTGTCACTGTGGTTTGTTTGATGGTTGTGTGGTTGGGCTTGTGAGAGTGTCACGTGGTGTTTGGATGATGTGTGTGGTTGGGCTTGTGAGAGTGTCACTGTTGGTGTTTTGTGATGAGTGTGGTTTGGGCTTGTGGAGTGCCCTGTGGTGTGTGTGATGATGTGTGGGTTGGGCTTGTGGAGAGTCACTGTGGTGGTTGTGATGGTGTGGGTTTGGGCTTGTGAGAGTTCACTGTGGTGTTGTTGATGGTTTGTGTGGTTTGGGCTTGTGAGATGTCACTGGTGTTTGTGATGTGTGTGTGTTTGGGTTGTGAGGTGTACTGTGGTGTGTGATGGTGTGTGTATATGAATCCATATGAGTAATCATAATATCTGGTCCCCCTGGCAAGGCTCAGACTTGGGCTGCGTCCCAAATGGCACCCTATTCCCTTTATAGTGCACTACTTTTGACCAGGGCCCATCATAGGGAAATAGGGTGCTATTTGGTAAGCAACCTTTGGCCCAGTTTCAGCTACTCAGCAGGGCTTCCTACCTCTTGATAGGCTGAACGGGTTTTACTCCACAGGAGGCCCTGTAAATCTCCCTCCTATTTAGAACAACAACCCTGTTAGATATAGGCTACTGTGTTCAGTGGAGACCGGAATAGACACACAACAACATTAGATAAAGGAGTCCTCTCTGGCTAGGCTGCAGTAAGGGTGTTATTAGAACAGTGACAGAGTCTGAATAAAGAGCATGGTATACTGGTGATGTAGTAAAGAGCATGGTATACTGGTGATGTAGCTAGCTAGCCTGAGCCAAGGCCTATTGTTAGTAATACTCCACAACAGTCTGGAGTATTCGTGACTGTGTTTAATTTTAACAAGAAAAATCTGAAAAGTCTGAAAAGAAATCATAAGGAGTGGAGCAGCGAGTTGTAACCACAGCAATGCAGAGTGGAGCTGGAGCGGAGCATGTTTAACTGGAGCGCGGAGCGAGTTTCCCAAAAGGCTGGAGCGTCGGCCTTTCACCCGCTCCAATATCGCTCCAGTGGCGCTCACTTCACCAGCTCAGCGCATACCCGGCCCAGCATGCATTTGTAGTCTACTTGTGTGCTGCTAATAGCCCCTTGCTTTAGCTAGTGTCATGGAGTTCACTAAATATTTTCATAAAGAAACTGATAAAACACACAGGTGCTAAATCAAGGTGACTTACAAAGATGAGGACCAAGAGCAAGAGAGGTAGTGTGGTGATGTAGTGTCCACGTTTCCCAAAAGCATGACGGTGTACTTACTACCTGCACAAGGAACGAGGTAGCATCCCCAGTGGCTCTGCGAGCGCGGAGAGGATGTTCTCCGCTGCTGGCCTGCTCTCCAGGCACCATGACATGAGCCTGAAGCCAGACACAGGCCAAACTCGTGTTTCAAAAAATGTATTCAAAGGCACTGTAGACTGAGCCTTATAAGGCATTTTTCATTTAATTTGTATTTAATTCTAAGTAAGTCTCAGCCTATATGTGCAATTTATAGACTATAATGATTTAATACAACTAAATGTTGTTTGAAATGCTGAGCCCTTTATGTCCCTACCAGCCTAGTGTGTTGCACTCTCAAATGCTCCACAATGTATTTCTTTGTAGGCTATAGGCTTGAAATAATTGAAATAATATATAGGCTAAATAATCCATGTTTGTTCCTTCTTAGGCTCCCTGTCTGGCTACTGACCTATTTACAGTGTTTACATGCTGTTTAATACGACATGTAGCCTGGTTCAAATGATGAGCACTTCTTAGTCTCCTTTTCATGTTGTTTATTGAAATTATTTTCATTCAAATCGTGGTTTGGTTTCAGTACTTCAAAACCACATGGTAGGTCCAGGTAGTCACAAAAATAGATGGGTGTTGGTTAAATTGTGGTTTAATGAATGGCTGTTTTTTTCCCCCTGTGAGCGAGGAGTGTTTTTTTGCGGAGTGGTTGGAAAGGACGTGGAGCTCCGGAGCCCTTGAGCGACAAGCAGGATTTACGACCGCTCAACCCCGCTCTCATACTCTGCATCAATGGCGATGAAGTAGCCTAGCAATAACATTGCTTCATTACTACAGATAGAAGTCTGACTCATGTTTGATGTTATTTATGAGCCAGTCAGTAGCTGCAGTCCTTTCATTCCCCACCTGACCCACAGACCCAGGCCCGATAGGGAGTAGGGTGCCATTTGTGACTAGAGCCACAGTTAATGCTCTTATAGGAATGGTTGACCTGGTGGGCTCCATTAAAGTCCTTGACCGGCGCGCTGGCAGCTACACTATACATAAATAGCCCGTCAAGCCCCTTTGTTCAGCCGCCACAGTTGTCTGTCAGCTAGCTAGCTCCGCTATGGGGTTGATTGCCAACTGAAGAGAGGGGTCCCATAGTGGTACATGTTTCTGTGTACTAGCAGTTTAGGGAAATGGGAGAGAACAGAGTAGATGGTGGTACATGATGTTTCTGGGTACTAGCAGCCAAGGGCCAGGGGAGAGAACAGAGTAGGCCACTCAGGTTGTTCTAACTCCAGGTGGTGACTGTTACATATAGTGAAGTTGGTTAGGTTTCTAGGTTATGGGTTGTTCTGACTCCTGGTGGTGACTGTTACATATAGTGAAGTTGGTTAGGTTTCTAGGTTATGGGTTAACTCTCTGGGCATCCTAGAGCATTAAGTGCATTTGTTTGTGACATTAGCAGTTGAGTGCTGTCAGTGTCATATGGCAAACCAAGGCAGCCTCAACTGGTTCAGAACAGAGATGGCTATTAGTGTCAGGGAGGGAGGGAGGGAGAGAGGGAGGGAGGGAGAGAGGGAGGGAGGGAGGGAGGGAGGGAGAGAGGGAGGGAGGGAGGGAGAGAGGGAGGGAGAGAGGGAGAGAGGGAGAGAGGGAGAGAGAGAAGGGGGGGTGAGGAGAGAGAGAGAGCGCGCCTGGGGGAGGGACAACAGGAGGAAAGACGTAGTAAAGATTTATTTGCCTAGATTACTATAAGCTTTCTCCCGGTTCTGTGCCGTGTGGATCGACGCTCAGTGTGTGAAGGGGAAGCACTGCATAGTAACAGGTTGGAGATACTCCTTGGAGGATCTGGGTTCTTCTTCGGTGGTGTTTTAATGAGCTTGATCAAACTGGTGGTAACAGAGGAATGAAATGCTTCTTTAGCTGCGAGGAAGGAATCTAAAGAAGACTGCTTGTTGTTTCTCTTCTTGTCTATTGAGGATGTTTTCTTGTCAGACAAGTTGGCTCAGGTGAGCAGTACAATACGTGGCTTCTCTGAATGGGACTTTTACTTTCACATACAGTTGACTTCAACAGTTGGATTTTCTACTTCACAGTAGGCTACTATGTGTTCAGTTTGAACAAGTTAGTGAGGGAAGTTATTTTGTTAAGGTGAAAGTGTTATAATAGCTGTAAAGCTGAAGCCCCCATAGTGTATATCAAATGACTGTCAGTGTGTCAGCTTTACCTCAGTTAAGCAGCAGTTAATTGTTTTCGGCCTCATCCTTATTACATTTAAACGGTAGGCTACAACCTATAACCTTACAACAGAACACTACTAGGTTACAGTATGTCTCTATAGGTAAAACAACACTACTAGGTTACAGTATGTCTCTACAGGTAAAACAACACTACTAGGTTACAGTATGTCTCTACAGGTAAAACAACACTACTAGGTTACAGTATGTCTCTACAGGTAAAACAACACTACTAGGTTACAGAATGTCTCTACAGGTAAAACAATACTACCGGTATCAAAAAATCTGGCCTTAATGGCCATGTACTGTTATAATCTCCACCCGGCACAGCCAGAAGGCCACCCCTCAGAGCCTGGTTCCTCTAGGGAGTTTTTCCTAGCCACCGTGCTTCTACATCTGCATTGCTTGCTTTTGGGTGTTTTAGGCTGGGTTTCTGTATAGCACTTTGTGACATCTGCTGATGTAAAAAGGGCTTTATAAATACAATTTGATTGATTGAAGTAGTAGAAATAACTGGAGAAGTGTCCTTACAGCGCTGAAGTAGTAGAAATAACTGGAGAAGTGTCCTTACAGCGCTGAAGTAGTAGATATAACTGGAGAAGTGTCCTTACAGCGCTGAAGTAGTAGAAATAACTGGAGAAGTGTCCTTACAGCGCTGAAGTAGTAGAAATAACTGGAGAAGTGTCCCTACAGTGCTGAAATAGAAATAACTGGAGAAGTGTCCCTACAGCGCTGAAATATAAATAACTGGAGAAGTGTCCCTACTGTGGTGAAGTACAAATAACTGGAGAAGTGTCCCTACAGCGCTGAAGTAGTACAAATAACTGGAGAAGTGTCCCTACAGCGCTGAAATAGTACAAATAACTGGAGGTGTCTTTACAGCACAGTGTTTTCCATTTGTGTCCTATGATCTCGACGTATGCAGACTGCTGAAAAACTGTAACACTATGTATGGGGCTATGTGTGTTTAAAGTATGGGGCTATGTGTGTTTAACGTATGGGGCTATGTGTGTTTAACGTATGGGGCTATGTGTGTTTAACGTATGGGGCTATGTCTGGTATTTGTGGAGTTGACAGTTTTAGGGTATCAGTTATCCTCACCTAGGCCCAGGGCCTAAAATTAACACCTGCCACCTGCCGAACGTGGGTAGATTTTGTCATTGGCGGGAAAGAATGTGTAATTCACCAGCCACGTTGGCAGGTGGCAACACTCCAGGCTCTACAGTGTGGGCATTTAATACAAATATTAAAGTACGGGCCCAAGTGAGAGTTGTGATCTATAGCTAAATAAATGCTGCAGTAGCTGTTTTCAAACTATTAATGCTGTTTTGTTTCATATCTGGCTGACTGTACCGTCTTCTGTCTGTCTGGGTCCTCTTCATACCCTGTGTGTGTCTGTCTGACTGTACCGTGTTCTGTCTGTCTGTGTCCTCTCCATACCCTGTGTGTGTCTGTCTGACTGTACCGTGTTCTGTCTGTCTGTGTCCTCTCCATACCCTGTGTGTGTCTGTCTGACTGTACCGTGTTCTGTCTGTCTGTGTCCTCTCCATACCCTGTGTGTGTCTGTCTGACTGTACCGTGTTCTGTCTGTCTGTGTCCTCTCCATACCCTGTGTGTGTCTGTCTGACTGTACCGTGTTCTGTCTGTCTGTGTCCTCTCCATACCCTGTGTGTGTCTGTCTGACTGTACCGTGTTCTGTCTGTCTGTGTCCTCTCCATACCCTGTGTGTGTCTGTCTGACTGTACCGTGTTCTGTCTGTCTGTGTCCTCTCCATACCCTGTGTGTGTAGTTTGATAGAATAAAGTTTTACCAAACGCGCTTCAGCCCAGCTAGAACAAAAAATGAAATTATGTGCTGAACTGAGTGACTAGTGATAGTAGAAAGTAGGTTGAAGTGTGTGTGTGTGTGTGTGTGTGTGTGTGTGTGTGTGTGTAGTTTGACTGTTAGTCCCGCTGACTCTCTCTGTCTCTCCTCTGTCTCTGCAGCGCTGCACTCAGGCCGGCCAGTCGTTGATGGAGTTCTTGCAGGGGAGCGGTGACTACTGCCACGCCCAACATCTTAGCGCTTGAGCCCCCCCGGGGGCAGGATGGCCCTGCTGCCCTGCTGCACCTCCCACCCCTGAATGCCCACAGCCAGGTCGCCCTCCCCACCCAGACCCAACCACCCCCACACTGACTGTAGACTGACCGACGGACGGCAGAACCACTAACTCACCAGATGGGGTAGTGAGTGTCGGTGACCAAGGGCAGTGTAAGCTAACGGACAGCTACCTCTTCACCCTCTCCAACCCCCCACTCTATTCCCACCAGCCTGAGACACCCTGGACAGGAGAGACTTGAGAGGACCTTGTAAAGTCCTCCTGAGGTGGGGTGTTGTTGCTGGGGTTTGTTCCTCAACCTCAGAGAGACTAGCAGGGTTGACCTGTTGGTGGCCTGCCTGCCTGCCTGCCTGGCTTCCTGCCTGCTGTGTCAGGACAGTGTACTGTAGCTGGTGGGCTGGGGACTCCTCTGTCAGGGTGGGTGCGGGCGTCTGGGTCTGGGTCGGCATCGTGGCGTCTTCTCCTGAGAGTGGGATCCTCAGTGTGTCCAGGATGAACCGGCCGGCCCCCCCCGTCGAGGTCTGCTACAAGAACATGAGGTTCCTCATCACACACAACCCCACTAACGCCACCCTCAGCACCTTCATCGAGGTGAGACAGAGAGGAATCTTCCAGACTGTTCTGGCTCTCGGCTGTCTAATCCTGCTGGGTTAGAAGTGGCACCTAGATAACTGATCTAAGATCAGTTTACTCCTCCTACCCCTTCGGGTTCACACTGCATGTTCTTAGCCCAGGGCTAAGCTTAATGAATATTCAAATTAGGTGACAATGGAAATATGGTGACAATGAATGGAATTAGGTGACATTAAATATTCAAATTAGGTGACAATAGAAATCTGTGATTGGTTAACCCTGAAAACCTGGTTCTAAGAACACCGTGTGAGTCTCTCAGGGAAAACAGAACTGACACTAGATCAGCGTCTAGGGAAAACGTCATCCTACTCTGTCTAATAGGTATTACTACTGTAGCTAGCTGTGTCATGTGACAGGGCTGTTATCAATCTAATTGGTATTACTACTGTAGCTAGCTGTGTCATGTGACAGGGCTGTTACCAAATCAATCTAATTGGTATTACTACTGTAGCTAGCTGTGTCATGTGACAGGGCTGTTACCAAATCAATCTAATTGGTATTACTACTGTAGCTAGCTGTGTCATGTGACAGGGCTGTTACCAAATCAATCTAATTGGTATTACTACTGTAGCTAGCTGTGTCATGTGACAGGGCTGTTACCAAATCAATCTAATTGGTATTACTACTGTAGCTAGCTGTGTCATGTGACAGGGCTGTTACCAAATCAATCTAATTGGTATTACTACTGTAGCTAGCTGTGTCATGTGACAGGGCTGTTACCAAATCAATCTAATTGGTATTACTACTGTAGCTAGCTGTGTCATGTGACAGGGCTGTTACCAAATCAATCTAATAGGTATTACTACTGTAGCTAGCTGTGTCATGTGACAGGGCTGTTACCAAATCAATCTAATAGGTATTACTACTGTAGCTAGCTGTGTCATGTGACAGGGCTGTTACCAAATCAATCTAATAGGTATTACTACTGTAGCTAGCTGTGTCATGTGACAGGGCTGTTACCAAATCAATCTAATTGGTATTACTACTGTAGCTAGCTGTGTCATGTGACAGGGCTGTTACCAAATCAATCTAATAGGTATTACTACTGTAGCTAGCTGTGTCATGTGACAGGGCTGTTACCAAATCAATCTAATAGGTATTACTACTGTAGCTAGCTGTGTCATGTGACAGGGCTGTTACCAAATCAATCTAATTGGTATTACTACTGTAGCTAGCTGTGTCATGTGACAGGGCTGTTACCAAATCAATCTAATTGGTATTACTACTGTAGCTAGCTGTGTCATGTGACAGGGCTGTTACCAAATCAATCTAATTGGTATTACTACTGTAGCTAGCTGTGTCATGTGACAGGGCTGTTACCAAATCAATCTAATTGGTATTACTACTGTAGCTAGCTGTGTCATGTGACAGGGCTGTTACCAAATCAATCTAATTGGTATTACTACTGTAGCTAGCTGTGTCATGTGACAGGCCTGGTACCTCTTTACACAACAGCACTGGCTAGGTCAGGGGTGTCAAGCTCATTTTAGCTCAGGGGCCACATGGAGGAGAATCTATTCCCAAGTGGGCCGGACCGGTAAAATCATGGTATATATAACTTAAAAACAACAACTTCAAATTGTTTTCTTTGTTTTAATACTATCAACATAAAACATAAAGCTGGAGCCTGAGGACAGTGTGTCCAAAATAGTACAAGCACAACATCACTATTAATCATAAAACACCTCAAGTTTATTTGAAAATTCTAAAGAAAAAACACACAAACACACAATGCCTCAGTGATTCACATAACTGTTTCACAGATCACAGAACTATATCAGGGTGTCATTTCTCAGGCAGAAATGTAGATACAAATAATGAAATCCTGTTCCCCAAACAAGTGCAAGAACCACAGAGTCAAGAATAGGTTAAATATACAAATAAAATAAAAACAATTAAAAACAATAGCACATCAACATAAAAACATATAAACATAAAGCTGGAGCCTGAGGACAGTGTGTCCAAAACCACAACATCACTATTAATCATAAAACACCTCAAGTTATTTGAAATTCTGAGGACAAACAACACACAAACACACAATGCCTCAGTGATTCACAGAAGTATATCACAGATCACAGAACTATATCAGGGTGTCTCATGCAGCACTTTAAGTGGGGTTGCATAGTTTATTTGACTCCTGATACCTGGCATCTTTTAGCTTTCACCAGCGCATCAATATCAGGCGTCACATCCTGAGTGGCAGCCAACTTCAGGATGTGATTCAAGTGCTTGTGCGTGAGCCTTGAGCGCAGCTTTGTTTTATTTATGCTCATTACAGAGAACTTGCTCACAAAGATATGTGGTTCCAAACATGCACAACCGTTTTGCAGCGAGGGCTGTCAAGTTGGGGTAACCTGGCAAGAGATTCTGATAAAATGTGTCCAAGCCAGCTGCGGCAAATTTGCCCTTCAAATCCGAGTCACACTGCAAGTCTATTATTTCAAGTTGGATGCTGACGGGCAGATCAGAGGGATTCACGGTGAATGGCGAACAAAAAACTTTGAAGTCTTTCTCCAGTTCACCAAAAATCTGAAAGCGTTGCTCAAACTCCCTTAACAGTCCCGTTATTTTATCTTTGAACCGCTTCATGTCTGCCACATGTTGGGTCGCGCACACATTTTTCAGACAGGGGAAGTGAGCTGCATCACCACCGGCGAGTTGCGTCTCCCACAATGACAGCTTCAACTTGAAAGAATGTATTTTACATTTACATTTTAGTCATTTAGCAGACGCTCTTATCCAGAGCGACTTACAGTTAGTGAATACATCTTTTTTTTTTTTTTTATACTGGCCCCCCGTGGGAATCAAACCCACAACCCTGGCGTTGCAAACGCCATGCTCTACCAACTGAGCTACATCCCTGCCGGCCATTCCCTCCCCTACCCTGGACGACGCTGGACCAATTGTGCGCCGCCCATGAGTCTCCCGGTCGCGGCCGGCTGCGACAGAGCCTGGATTCGAACCAGGATCTCTAGTGGCACAGTTAGCACTGCGATGCAGTGCCTTAGACCACTGCGCCACTCAGGAGTATGCTGTCATAATGCTGTCATAATACTGTCATAATACTGCGTGGCAACTTTGTTGCGCCCTTGCAGCTGTTTGTTCAAGTTATTCAGGTGCTCTGTAACATCCACCATAAATGCAAGGTCCTCCATCCATTCTGCGGAATTAAATTCTAACACTGGTTTGCCCTTTTCTTCCATGAACTGTTCAATTTCTTCTCGTAAATCAAAGAAACGCCTCAGCACAGCACCTCGGCTTAACCATCTTACCTCAGTGTGGTATGGCAGGCCATAGATGTGGTCTTTCTCTCTGAGAAGGCTGTCAAACTGACGGTGATTCAAGCTTCTGGATCGGATGAAATTAACAGTTTGGATGACCACCTTCATGACGTTATCCATCTTTAATGACTTGCAACACAAAGCCTCCTGGTGCAAAATACAGTGAAAAGTCCAAAAATCACGTCCTCCATTTGCAGATTGCACTTTCTCTCTGAACTTTGTCACAACGCCTGCTTTTTTCCCGATAATTGAGGGCGCACCATCTGTAGCCAGGCTGACAGCGCGGGACCAGTCCACTCCGACCCTGTCCAGCGCGCCGACGAGTGCAGTGAAAATATCAGCTGCTGTCGTTGTATCTGTCATCGGCACCAACTCCGTGGATGAAAATGGCCAGTTGTACAACATCTGTAATGTCCGTGCTTTCATCAATTGCAACCGAAAACGCAATAAATGACTTTACTTTTTGCTTCAACTTGCTGTCCAAATCCACTGAAAGATCGGAAATCCTGTCTGCAACTGTGTTTCTTGTCAGGCTGATATTTGCAAAAGCCTGGTGCTTTTCAGGGCACACAATCTCTGCTGCCTTCATCATGCATGTTTTTACAAATTCACCCTCACTAAATGGTTTTGAAGCCACTGCGATTTCATTAGCAATGAGGTAGCTAGCTTTCACTGCAGCGTCACTGATGTCTCGGCTGTGAGTAAACACAGACTGCTGTTTCTTCAGACCCACCAACAGTTCATTCACCTTCTCTCTTCTCTGCTGTCCTTGAAAGTTGTCATATTTGTCGGCATGAAGACTTACATAGTGGCGACGAAGGTTATATTCTTTCAGCACTGCAACATGCTGTGAACACACCAAACATACAGCTTTCCCATTCAATTCCGTGAATAAATAGAAGGATGACAATTTTTCTTGGAACACTCTGCACTCTGCGTCCACTTTTCTCTTTTTTGACAGAGACAACGGGCCGGACGTTTGACACCCCTGGGCTAGGTGAAGCCTTACAAGAACACCTTGATAAAATGAATTCAGAACAGTCAGGGTCTGAGTCCCAATTGACACCCTATTCCCTCTATAGTGGACTACTTTTGAACAGGGCCCATTGTCAAAACCTCCAACATATGAATGTGTTCATGAATGGTTTTAATGAAGTTACCAGTAGATGGATGGATGGACAGGACACTATCCCATCCCTTGTATTAGCCACACCATTTATATCAAGTTCTATGGACAGAATGTAGATAGCAGCAACAAAGATTTATAGCAAGCACACTCTAAAGAGAAATGGCACAAACAGACCATATACAGATGTTAATTGACAGAAATATGGTTTGAATGGTTTCCCCCCCTCCCTCTTGTAGGATCTGAAGCAGTATGGTGCAACAACAGTGGTCCGGGTGTGTGAGGTCACCTACGACAAGACACCACTGGAGAAGGATGGTATCACAGTCATGGTGAGTGAAGATACACACACACACACACACACACACACACACACACACAGGATCTCTCTTCACTTCTCTTCTCTACTCTCTCTCACAAGGGTCGTATTCACTAGGAACCAAACGGAAGCAAAACAGTCTGAAACGAGGGGGACCTACCTGAATTTGTCCAATGAGAAAACCTTTTTCTGTTGCAAGACGTTTTGCTACGGTGCCAAACGTTTTGGTACACTGTGCATTAATGAATACGACCCTGGTGGTGTTCAGTAGGTACAAAATGAGGGGAAACGTAGCCTACTGCTACCTGAACTGGTCCATTGAGACTAGCCTACTGCTACCTGAACTGGTCCATTGAGACTAGCCTACTGCTACCTGAACTAGTCCATTGAGAGAAGCCTACTCGCTTTTGTTTTCCGTCCGTTTCAAAATATTTTCTCCAGTTTGTTCCTACTGAACGTGACCCTGTTTCCCCACTCTGCCCTGTGGAGGATGTCATTCATGATCTCACCCTGCTGCACATGTGTTGGAGTAGAGGAAACACTATCTCCTGCCCTGAACACACTAGCACACACACACACACATCTGGCTCAGCGTCAAGGTTTACCTCATTGTTTACTCCTCTCGTCTCCCCCCTTCCTCTTCTCACCTCTCTCTTCTCCCTCCTTCCTCTCCTCTCATCCCCCTTCCTCTCCTCTCCTCTCCTCTCCTCCCCCTTCCTCTCCTCTCCTCTCCTTCCTCTCCTCCTCCCCCTTCCTCTCCTCTCCTCCCCTTCCTCTCCTTTCCTTCCCCTTCCTCTCCTTTCCTCCCCCTTCCTCTTCTCTCCCTTCTTCTCCTCCCCCCTCCTCTCTCTCTCTCTCTCACCTCAGCATGCAGCCCAAACACAGCCCCACCATGTCTTCCGGTAGCTTCGCCACTTTAATGAACAGCCAGTCACAGGGAAAGGCTAACCTCCTGAGATCATCTCAGGTTGTTAGGGCTGTTTTGGCAGCGGGTAGCGGCAATGTTCCCCTGGCAAGGTGGGGGGTAGCTTGTCGACCGCTGGTTCTACAGGGAGAACTCATGAGTAGCAGCAGGAGGAATTGTAACACACACACATCAGGCTGAGGAATCGTAGCACCCCTCCTTACACATCCCCTCCTGCTCTCTCAGCTTTTCCCCCCGTGCTGTGAAGCCTTTACAAGCCTTCACAGGGAGAACCCCCCCCCCACATCCCCACCCCCTCACTTCCCCCTCTCCACCCCCTCACCTCCCCACCAAGCCTCTGTCAGTCCAACATCTGAGACCCTGCTCTCCCTCTTGGCCTGTCAACATTGGGTTGCCATGGGATCTGCAGTGTCTCTAGCCTCTCTCTCTGCTTCTCCCTCTCCTCTCCTCTCCTCTCCTCTCCTCTCCTCTCCTCTCCTCTCCTCTCCTCTCCTCTCCTCTCCTCTCCTCTCCTCTCCTCTCCTCTCCTCTCTTTCTCTCTCTCTGACTAAATAACGTTGTTGGGAGCATAGAGTACCCTCTCGGAGGAGGGGTAGCATCAGATGAGAAGAATGTAGGGATGGGGAGATAGCTTGAAGTCAGGGTTATATCAGGCCCTTAGCTACCCTCTCCCTGTTGTGTTATCAGACGGACACGGTCACACAGAGTCCTCTCTCTTCTCTTCCCTGTGTGAGAGAGAGCCTTGTATCCTGGCTGACTGAGTCTGGCTCTGGTCAAAGGTAGTGCACTATGTAGGGAACAGGGTGCCATTTGGGACGCACCCTTATACACTGGCTGGCTGACTGTGACTGTGTCAGTGCCTCTGCTTCAATAGTAGCACAGCAGAGAGCACAGATAAATGAAGATTAGCCACCAGCTGAGAGAGACTGGCTGGCAGGTGAAACTAGTTCACTGTTGTTCCCTTCCACATCTCCCTGAACTCCAGATGGAAACCATGTTGTTGTTGTTGTCTGTCTCATTCAGCACGCTGTGTAATGTGCTGCACGGTCTGTCTGTCTGGCATGGATGGTGATGGTTATTTATTGGCATTATACGGTGAAATGTTACTCCCACACACACTGCTTTAGCACATTAGTTTATTCTTACCTGTATATCAGTAATAGTGGGGGTATATTTGAAGGCCATATATAACCGTAATAACAGTGGCATGTACCAGAGGTGCATCCATCCACCTTGTGACTGTCTTAACATAGGCCATCCTCTGTATCATGTGATAACATTCATCTAGCTGATATAAAGGGATTGTGGACTCATTCAGGTAGTGTCCCAAATGGCACCCTATTTCCTATATAGTGCACTACTTTTGACCAGAACTGTATGGGCCCTAATCATAAATAGTGCACTGCACTATAAAGGGAATAGGGTGCCAGATTTGAGACGTAGACTCTGCCAAACGTCTCACTCCCTGCCGTACAAGAGTCAAGTTGCAGAGGCGGAGGGATACCATGGTGACAGGGTCTGTTCTGGGGGTTCCGAGAAATGGCCCAAGACGTTCTTCGGCCACAATTAAAACTCTCCCTCCACCACCAAGCTCTTGTCACTAGCTCTGGGCTGCGTTGGAATGGGCTTCACAACATTAATAGCTTACTGTTAACCTCTTAGTGGATTTAAATGTTATTTTTTAACCACATCCTCTCTACAGTCTAAGATTCTATTAGGGAGAGGTTTACTCTAAAGGTTGTCACAGCAGGTTCACCCACTATGCAGTTCTGTGGCATCAAAACAGACATGCAAATAGGCATTTCTGCATCATCTGTGTTATGGTGACTTTTACATATCTTGTTGTCCATAACTTCTTTCGACATCCATAGCAGGAAGCAGAGCAATTCAAAGCATTTCAGGTGAGGTTAGGGTCAGGCCGTGCAGTGTACAGGATTGATGTCATACCTGTAACACTGAAGAGAGAGAAGAATGGACCCTGTTGTGGGTTTTGCCTGTGTGTTACTGTGTGCGTCCCAAATTGCGCCCTAATATCCTATATATTGCCCTACTTTGTACCAGAATCCTATGGGCTCTGGTAGGGCTGTGACGATAACAGTATCGCAATATTTATTTCCATGGCAAAAACTAAAACACGAAGCAGACCGAACTCTTTGGTCCTTAAACCTGCTGTATGTAAAATATTGTGTGCTGTAGTTTGGAAAATAAATAAATGTGACTCTTGATGACAACATGATGATGTTTCCAACATTAGGGCTGTTACATCCGCTTCATGTTTTGTTTCCTTCCACGATGCTAATGAGTATCGCGATACTGGTACGTCCCGGCCCTAGTCTCTGGGTCCTATGGCCCATTTGGGACGCAGCCTGCAGTGTCCATGTTGAATGCCACTAGCCCCAGTGTAGAGTTAATTCCCACCCACCACTCCTGTTGTTGCCTCACTGGAGATGATCTGAAGAAACACCGCTAGGAAACACTGACGGACACTGGCAAGACATTTTCAATGGATAAAAGTCTCTGTACATGCTCTGTAATCTGGCATTCATAGAACATTCCTAGAAGTACTGGTACTAAACCAGGATTAGATCATCCTGTTAGTGGTACTAAACCAGGATTAGATCATCCTGTTAGTGGTACTAAACCAGGATTAGATCATCCTGTTAGTGGTACTAAACCAGGATTAGATCATCCTGTTACTGGTACTAAACCAGGATTAGATCATCCTTTTCATCCTGTAGTATCAGTTCTTCAGATCATTTTTGCAACTATAATCAAAAGCAGTATGTTTTACTTTGTTTTGGATGAGAAAGTCCCAGTTGCACCCTTCTATTCATGGTAGTATGAAATGGTGATTGTCATCATAACACCCTTCCCAGCCTGGCCTGTGAACCACCGGCTCTGCTGTGCCCCAAGGGCTTTGGAAGGGAGCTGTTGCCTTGGTAATGCATTGTCATCAAACACAGGGGGAGCAGGTATGGTGTTGTTGGAAGTCCCACTCCACTAGAAGATAAGAGGTGTGTGTGTGTGTGTGTGTGTCTCTAGTGTGCCTGATCCCTCCTAGATACCCATGGTTTCTGCTTTAAGCCTTCATCTGTCAAATGGAGGAGTCAAACAGCTCAGTTGAGCATCCTTGATGCTGTATGGTGCGTTAGGCCTATATCTGACCTTGTGATGGATTTCTTAACTAATCTACTATCATTGTCTAATCCTTCAATGAAATAATATTTGTCATTATAGAGGATGATAGGCCAACATGGCAAGAAAAATACATTGAATCCAACCGACTATCTGGTTAATTTACACTACCCCAAACCCATCAAAAGATGTACTCAAACAGTCACCAGATATCTGTTCTCTGTTGTGGTTTTGCACCAACTACAAACAAACCCCTTATAGTGTGTCTGGGTTGACAGCAGGTTTTCCTGAAGCTGTTGTTGCTGATGGAACAGGACCTGCGTCCCAAATGGCACCCTATTCCCTACATAGTGCACTACTTTTTGACCAGAGCCCTATGGTAGTGCACTATATAGGGAATAATAGGATGCCATTTGAGATTAATCTAGGCCCTCAGAAACCGCCGGTCGCTGACTGAATGTTCCCACTGTGTTTGGATGGGAGGTGCTTGTTGAGATAGCAGGAACAGTGAATACTGTAGGAAGGACACAGGACAGTATGTTGTCTGTGGTGGCAGTTGTCTCATGTTGTGAGTCATGTCTGGATGACTGAGGATGGTACACTCTGCTCTCCTCCTGTTGTGTGGGTACAGATGTCTCATTTACAGTGTGCAGGGACTTGGAACCAGTTGTTTCAGACATGCAGCGGTTCACAATCCCCTTTAAGACATTCACCCTCAGTAGGGGATATTGCTTTGTCTGGTTCCTCAGTTTTCAGTAGGCAGGAGTGCATTGTAGTGCTACTCTGTCTCCCTCAGTGCCAATGCTAATCAGCTGTTTCTGTCAGAGACAGTACTGTACTGTTTACGATGTGTGGTGCCGAAGACCAATTTCCACATTGTGTGGACAATTAAATTTTTTCTAATGCAAATGTATTTTGTATTTTCCAGGACTGGGCCTTTGATGACGGTGCCCCTCCTCCCACTAAGATCGTAGATGATTGGCTGAACCTGCTGAAGAGCAAGTTCTGTGAGGACCCTGGCTGCTGCGTGGCAGTACACTGTGTAGCCGGGCTGGGACGGTACGGAACATTACTACTCTTCTATTGTAGGGTTCTGATGGGGTAAGACAGTTGAACCAAGCTCACGAGGCTGCTGTGTCACCCTGTGTCTGTCACCCCCACTGTGACGGCAACAGTCCCAACAGCCATCAGTCTCTCGTCTTCTACAGCCTGACCAGGACCCTCTCTCTGCACGCAGGCAGACCCAAGCCAAAGTCAACTGTTAGCCAAGGGACACTCCTTCACAACTAATCCACCGTTTATTATTCAAAGCACAGAGGTTGAGGTCTGAACAACGTTGAAGCAGCATTTATTTGTATTGTGTCTCTAAATGTATCCTCTCAGATTGAATCTCCACTAGCTAGCTCACCAGAGTCAAACAGCTCTGGCCAAAAGTAGTGCGCTATGTAGGGAATAGGGTGCCATTTGGGACGTTACCAGTTGTCTTGTCAAATGTCAGTTAGCTGTATTATGGTTGCCCATGCCCAGACCTGTACTGTATGTTCTATAGTTTAGCCTCTTGACTCCCATTTGGCATGCCATACATTAGTCATTATGTTTGGCATGCTAACCAACATAACAGAGGAGTTGACTAAACAGAAGCACAAACTGATCTGGTTACCAGGCTCATTTTAGCTCTGTCCTGTCCTGTCTGGTGTTCCTTCAGGTCTTCTCTATGGCAGAGGAGAGACAGCGAGTCACATCTGTACTGATGGAATATTAGCTAGCTAGTAGAGGAGAAAGCTTAGGATGCGTCTCAAATGGCACCCTATTCCCTACATAGTGCACTACTTTTGACCCTGTGGGAAATAGGGAGCCATTTGGGATGCGCACTTAAACCAGGTCAAACCAGGCTGTTGGTACTAATAATGGTTGAGCTCATTGGTAGGAAGCTGAAGGAGTCCCTCTTCCTCTCCCCTCCCCTCCCCTCCCATCCCTGGGTAAGCTGAAGGAGCCCCCCCAGCCCCCTGTTCTCCCCAGCCCCTCCCCTCCCCGGGTAAGCTGAATGAGCCCCCCAGCCTCCCCTCTTCCCCTCCCCTCCCTGGGTAAGCTGAAGGAGCCCCCCAGCCCCTGACCCCCCCAGCCTCCCCTCCCTGGGTTGGTGAAGCACCGTCTTAAGTCTCCCGAGTGGCGCAGTGGTCTAAGGCAATGCATCGCAGTGCTAGCTGTGCCACTAGAGATCCTGGTTCGAATCCAGGCTCTGTCGTAGCCGGCCGCGACCGGGAGATCCATGGGGCGGCGCACAATTGGCCCAGGGTAGGGGATGGAATGGCTGGCAGGGATGTAGCTCAGTTGGTAGAGCATGGCGTTTGCAACGCCAGGGTTGTGGGTTCGATTCCCACGGGGGGCCAGTATGAAAAGTAAAATACAAATAATAATGTATGCATTAACTGTAACTCGCTCTGGATAAGAGCGTCTGCTAAATGACTAAAAATGTAAAAATGTCTATCTCTGACGTACTGGAGACCTCCTCTGGGACTCTGTGGTTTTTGACAGGGCGCCAATGTTTGCTTTACTCCAAACTGTTTGTTGTCCTGTTAATCAGCTGAGAGTCTTTGGGTTTCAGCTGGTACCTCTGCAACATCTAAGTGCTCTGGGGGCTGACATGGTCTGACAGGGTAGAGTTAGATAGATGAATATATTTGAATGTCTCATGTCCATGTCCAGGCAGGCACCTCATCTGTTACAATGATTCCTAGAAATCCAGTGTTTGTGTTAGTGGTGTTATACTCTCCAGCTTTCTATTTCCAGACTGACTAACAGTAACCACAGCAACAACCCATATAAGGCTAGAAAAGGGAACGTGGGCTACAGCGTTCCATAATGATTTGTTACCTGTAAATATTAGTGCCCATATCATGGCGAAATACAGCACAAACAACTAGTTCCAGCTCTCAACCCGCAGCAAGGCTTTCCTTTGTCCAAACCAGAATCCTCCTGCCTTTAACTCCAATCCCTGGGACCTGGCTGTGTTGTGACAACACGTTGCTTGGGGCATAACAGGAACTAATGGATGTCTTTAATTCCCAGTATTACTATGTGAATGCTGTTTCTAAGTCCCAGTATTAGTAGCAGCATGACTGTGTCTTTAAGTCCCAGTATTAGTAGCAGCATGACTGTGTCTTTAAGTCCCAGTATTAGTAGCAGCATGACTGTGTCTTTAAGTCCCAGTATTAGTAGCAGCATGACTGTGTCTTTAAGTCCCAGTATTAGTAGCAGCATGACTGTGTCTTTAAGTCCCAGTATTAGTAGCAGCATGACTGTGTCTTTAAGTCCCAGTATTAGTAGCAGCAGACTGTGTCTTTAAGTCCCAGTATTAGTAGCAGCAGACTGTGTTTAAGTCCCAATTATTAGCAGCATGACTGTGTCTTTAGTCCCAGTATTAGAGCAGCATGTGACTGTGGTCTTTAAGTCCCCAGTATTAGTAGCAGCATGACTGTGTCTTTAAGTCCCAGTATTAGTAGCAGCATGACTGTGTCTTTAAGTCCCAGTATTAGTAGCAGCATGACTGTGTCTTTAAGTCCCAGTATTAGTAGCAGCATGACTGTGTCTTTAAGTCCCAGTATTAGTAGCAGCACGTGAAGGCTTTTTCTTTGTGTTTCTCCCTCCAGGGCTCCTGTGCTGGTGGCTCTGGCTCTGATCGAGGGTGGGATGAAGTATGAGGAGGCAGTTCAGTTCATCAGGCAGTATGTATACCTCACCTCCAGGTTCAGTTCATCAGGCAGCATGTACACCTCACCTCCAGGTTCAGTTCATCAGGCAGTATGTACACCTCACCTCCAGGTTCAGTTCATCAGGCAGCATGTACACCTCACCTCCAGGTTCAGTTCATCAGGCAGCATGTACACCTCACCTCCAGGTTCAGTTCAGTTCATCAGGCAGCATGTACACCTCACCTCCAGGTTCAGTTCATCAGGCAGCATGTACACCTCACCTCCAGGTTCAGTTCATCAGGCAGCATGTACACCTCACCTCCAGGTTCAGTTCAGTTCATCAGGCAGCATGTATACCTCACCTTCCGTCTCTTTATGTTTTTAAGGAGAGTGGAAGTCCACTCAACCTTTAGTGTTGTTCATGTTTCATCTGACAGCTGTAGACATCATGACAAGGGATAATTAGGAGGGAAGGTGGAGATGGGGATTAAACCAGTCTCCAGTGAGGAGGCCTACGTGGCTTGAGCCGGGAGAGTCATTCACTCAACCAGGGCTCTGCACACATCTGGATTCTTCTGACACTCATAGGCTTTACATTATGGGTCGGGTTCTCTGGAAAAATATCAAGCCTACTGCCTTCTCGGACTGAGCACCATGCTCAGTGGAGAATCTCAATTTAAAGTGCTTTTTAGTCCAGAATAAATAGGCTTCATCTGGATCCGGTAAATCGTCCCAAAGTGAATTATAAATGTGACTTTACATGACGGCCCTTATATATAGCGAAGCTATCCATGTTAGCATTGTGGTGTAGGGCTAAAATGTCAAGCTGTTTAACTTCAAGTATAATATACGAAATGAACAATCAGTCTTGATGAGTCTAGTCCCTAAATGGTGCACTACTTTTGACCAGAGCCCTATGGGAACCTTATTCACTATATAGTGCACTGCTTTTGGCCAGAGCCCTTTGGGTACACTGTGGGCACTGGTCAGAGTTAGTGAATAGGGTGCCAGTTGGGACAGAACAATGATTCCTGTAGGGAGTAACAATAGACCTGTCTTTCTCTGTCTCAGGAAGCGCAGGGGAGCGATCAACAGCAAGCAGCTGACCTACCTGGAGAAATACCGCTCCAGACAGAGACTACGCTTCAAAGACCCTCACAAACACAAGAACAAGTGCTGCGTGATGTGATGTGATGTGGTGTGGCACCGCAGCCTGGCCTGACTGCTCTGACCGATATAGAACGGTTACATGGACTTTAATATTGGGACCGACCTCCACCCCCTCTGCGATGCATTTAGGCCCCTGACCTGTTGTCTGTCTCCATGGGAGAGTTAGCTTCCACTGTTCTGTTGGGATTCTTCTCACTCTCAGGGCTGTTAGAGAGAGACCATCTTCTCTCTGATGTCTTTGAATTAACACGTTCGTCCCCAAGTGCTGGCCAACTAAACTCGTAGAGAGGAAAACCAAACAACTACCGACCTGGATTGCCATCAAGTGCACACACACACACACACACACTGACATAAATTATTTTGCACTGACTGTGACACACACACAGCCATTGACCACCATACCAACCCCTCCACCACCAGCAACACTGTCAGCTTTGTCCCAGGCCTGTTCCTTCCTCTTTCCTCTCTGCTGCTAGTTAGCACTGACCCAACCCAAAGCACTGTCAATGAAACACACCGACCGACCACTAGCTATCACAACAGGCCCACTTCACATCACCACACACCATGTTAACTGAAAGGCCCTGCTAGCCATGATGACATGAATGAAATAATCATGAAAAATAACAGATGTTTTGCTGTCTGTGTGTTTTTATCTCAGTGTTTCGATAACATCCAGTTGAACATCTTTGTTAAATTGAACGCCATCCACAGAGCTCGCCCATCTTGCTCCGTTTTCATAATGCATGTAAGGTAACACTCGTTAGAATCATGTCCTTGTCCCCTTCTTGTTGAGGATGTGGGGAGGTGGGATGGGACTTAATATAGGGCAAGGTTTTGTGCTGAGTCGCTGGTTTTTAAATAGCAATATTTTTTACATTGTGATATGAAATACTCTGGGATTAGGATTCTTCACCACTGGCTGCTTGTGTTGTACAACATGGGGGATCTCAGTGTATCTTGTGAGAGTGTGAGCTGAGCCTGGGTGGGCTTGGTGTCCCAGATGGCATCCTATTCCCTATATAGGGTACTACTATTGACCAGAGGCCTATGGGCTGGAATGCCATCAAATATACACACGCGCTGACCCTATGGGCTCTGGTCAAAAGTAGTGCACTATAAAGAGAATAGGGTGCCATCTGGGACGCATACTATGCTTTTGGAAAGTAAACATGACGGTGCACAGTAGTCGTCTCTGGGATGAAAAACAGCCAACTGAACCGTCTGCTCAGAAATAACGTCTGAGTTCTGTATCTGTCAGTGTGGATATAATTGTCACTCCTCTTGCGTCCCAAATGGCACCCTATTCCCTTTATAGTGCACTACTATAGAGCACTATTCAAGTCTGGGGAACGGCGGGGCCAGTCATAGCATCAATGCCTTCCTCTTGCAGGAACTGCTGACAAACTCCAGCCACATTGAGGTCTAGCATTGTCTTGCATTAGGAGGAAACCCAGGGCCAACCGCACCAGCATATGGTCTCACAAGGGGTCTGAGGATCTCATCTCAGTACCTAATGGGCAGTCAGGCTACCTCTGGCGAGCACATGGAGGGCTGTGTGGCCCCCCCAAAGAAATGCCACCCCACACCATGACTGACCCACCGCCAAACCGTTCATGCTGGAGGATGTTGCAGGCAGCAGAAGGTTCTCCACGGCGTCTCCAGACTGTCACGTCTGTCACATTTGTTCAGTGTGAACCTGCTTTCATCTTTGAAGAGCACAGGGCGCCAGTGGCGAATTTGCCAAACTTGGTGTTCTCTGGCAAATGCCAAACGTCCTGCACGGTGTTGGGCTGTAAGCAAAACCCCCACCTGTGGACGTCGGGCCCTCATACCACCCTCATGGAGTCTGTTTCTGACCGTTTGAGCAGACACATGCACATTTGTGGCCTGCTGGAGGTCATTTTGCAGGGCTCTGGCAGTGCTCATCCTGCTCCTCCTTGCCACAAAGGCGGAGGTAGCAGTCCTGCTGCTGGGTTGTTGCCCTCCTACGGCCTCCTCCACGTCTCCTGATGTACTGGCCTGTCTCCTGGTAGCGCCTCCATGCTCTGGACACTACGCTGACAGACACAGCAAACCTTCTTGCCACAGCTTGCATTGATGTGCCATCCTGGATGAGCTGCACTACCTGAGCCACTTGTGTGGGTTGTAGACTCCGTCTCATGCTACCACTAGAGTGAAAGCACCGCCAGCATTCAAAAGTGACCAAAACATCAGCCAGGAAGCATAGGAACTGAGAAATTATTATTATTAAGTGGTCTGTGGTCACCACCTGCAAAACCAGTCCTTTATTGGGGATGTCTTGCTAATTGCCTATAATTTCCACCTGTTGTCTATTCCATTTGCACAACAGCATGTGAAATGTTCTGATCCTTGGGCTCTGGTCGAAGGTAGTGCACTAGATAAGGAATAGGGTGCAAGACGCAGTCTCAGTTAAGGACAGGTACTGAAGGAATGACTCATATCCTAGGAAGAAAGCTGTCACATTTATCTGCTGCCTTGGAAGTAACCCACTTCAGATTGTTCACAGTTAATGAAGTACAAGAAATAAAGTAATTGTTAAAGTATGCTGGACTGTTTTGTGCTTTATTTAGGAGTTGACTTGTGGGAGAACGAATCATTTTAAACTACCACTTTTGCCTTGTTGTGAAAACAAGCTAAATGCCGCCATCTAGAGGCCATTTGTAGTTACTTACACTTATTATTAGCAGTGGCATTGTTGGCCTGAATTAGATGTTGTGCATTTCTGAAATAGATTTCTTGTTTTCTCTTCAATCACCATATTGTTCATTTCAGATAATAATATGGCAAATTTACCATCTATATTGCAGATTAGGTCATCACTTTTTTTATCGCAAACATTCCTGTTTGTACAACAATGACGTATGATGAACAATATACAGGCTACTTCCGGAATGAATCTATTTACAATTGAGAAATAGGGCAGATCTCGAGCGGCAAATTCTATGTTCTTTGTTTTATTATATAAATGTATGGTCCATGGTGATATTGTGTTTATAAATCACGCAGGTCTTTTTGCCTGTGGCATGTTCGATATAGCACATTTTGGAAAGGACCCGAGATAAGCGCAAGGCACAGTGCAGACGGTAGGCTAATTAAAATGCATCTTTGTCTTGCATGAGCATCATTATTAGCGGCCACCCAATGTAGGCCAAGTCTATCTAACGTTTAAAAATGTATTCTGATCATTGTGTGAACCTAGGCGCACCTCGATTTTAACTGGAGAATACATGGTTTTACTGGTGATGGGGAGAACAATCTAGAAAGGAAATGTATTCAATGTGTTGCAAATGTAGCAAGAAAAAAGTATATGCATTTACAGCGTAATAGGCCAACCGTGGAATTCAGTGCCGTTGCCCTTTCGTTCTTATTAATTCATTGGTTGTTGTTATATAGGCTAGTCCACACGGTTAAATACTGTACGATGTAACGCATTTGGACTGCATTAAATCACATTTTCTCTGCCATCATGCCATAGGCTACGATCCTCACTCTGCTTGTTTTGTTTTGCATGGCTGTCTGTTCAGTCATCCATCAGGGTTTAGAATAAAGGTATTTCTTTGTCTCATAGTGTTCTGTCATTTTATTTATGTTTTGCGTTATGTTCCCACTTCTCGTTTTCATAATTTAATAACACCTACTTACTGATCATGCAGGGAAAGAAAATATCTGTACAGTGTTCATTTAGTATCAAATGCATAATTTGCTTTCAAAATGTACTTGCCACTTTCCAATTTAATAACAGCATTCATGGTTCTTTGAGAGTCCATTGCATTTGTTTGGCTCCCAGTGCTGTAAATAGTTCCATCCATATAATTAGAATACATTATATTTATACTGTTCCATTCTCACCATGCTTTGTCAGTCCAATCATACAATCTCATGTAAAACTGAACATCCCATCCATTCGCCCATACATTAGTTTGTGTTTCCAGCATTGATAGATACACAATGTGGCCCTAAGACTTGATTAGTGTAGCTGCAATCCACAGAACAAGATACACAGATTAAACCTATAGGTGACCATGATACTGATACACAGATTAAACCTATAGGTGACCATGATACTGATACACAGATTAAACCTATAGGTGACCATGATACTGATACACAGATTAAACCTATAGGTGGCCATGATACTGATACACAGATTAAACCTATAGGTGGCCATGATACTGATACACAGATTAAACCTATAGGGGCATGATACTGATACAAGAATTAAACCTATAGCTGGTCCATGATACTGATACACAGATTAAACCTATAGGTGGCCATGATACACTGATACAAAGATTAAACTAAAGCTGGCCATGATACTGATTAACAGATTAAAACTATAGCTGGCCATGATACTGATTAACCTATAGGTGAAGTTTTGACATTTTAGGTCATTGAGCCAGACGCTCTTATCCAGAGCGAACCTTTCCAGGTTAGTGCGTGCATACATTTTTCATACTGGCCCCCACGTGGGGAAACGAACCCACAACCCTGGCGTTGCAGCGCCATTGGCTCTACCAACTGAGCTACACGGGACTTATCCATGGGTGGACCATGATACTGATACGAGGATTAACCCTTACTAGGGGGACCATGATTACTGTACAGAGATTAAACCTATATGATGCCATGATGCTGTACATCACCCATGGATTGATTGTGTAATCAACTTTAATGGTAGCATGAAAGGTTTTTGTAGAGCTCCTATATGTACAGTCAGTGCTAGAAAGGGTATTGGTAATCTTGTCTACCAGCCAGGTCTTTCTGAACCTATGTGCAGTAGCATCTGAGACTGGGAACAAGGTTGTGGTATTGGTAACAACACATCAAGGTTAGGGATTCATTATCATTGGGAAAACATAGTAGTACATTAGAATTATGGTACCATACAATCATGAGAAGTAGTTCACATTATGATAACTCCATTATCCATGCAGTTCTGTAGCCTGGTCCCAGATCTGTTTGTGCTCTTGCCAACTCCATTACTCATTGTCAAGCCAAACATACAGTACCAGTCAAAGGTTTGGGCACACCGACTCATTCAAGGGTTTTTCTTTATTTTTACTATTTTCTACATTGTAGAATAATAGTGAAGACATCAAAACTATGAAATAAAACACATGGAATCATGTAGTAACCAAAAAAGTGTTAAACAAATCCAAATATATTTGAAATTCTTCAAAGTAACCACCATTTGCCTTGATGACAGCTTTGCACACTCTTGGCATTCTCTCAACCAGCTTCATGAGGTAGTCACCTGGAATGCATTTCAATTAACAGGTGTGCCTTCTTAAAAGTTAATTTGTGGAATTTCTTTCCTTCTTAATCCATTTGAGCCAGTCAGTTGTGTTGTGACAAGGTAGGGGTGGTATACAGAAGATAGCCCTATTTTGTAAAAGACCAAGTCCATATTTTGGCAAGAACAGCTCAAATAAGCAAAGAGAAACGACAGTCCATCATTACTTTAAGACAGGGGTGTCAAACGTACGGCCCGCGGGCCGGATCAGGCCCGCAAACGGGTTTAATCCGGCCCGCGAGATGATTTTGAAAAAGAAAAAAAAATTATATATATTTTTTTTTTTTTAAAGTATAAAAATGCGCTGCAATTTTTCAATAAAATAAACTGCTGTTCCAATTGCGTCCCCTGGATGGCGCAATAGCAATTGTGTTAAGCAAGCAAACTGTTTATACCGGGGCAGAGCAAGTAGGTCAAGCACGTGCAGCCAATGAGCTACTTTGTTTTGCCCGCGATATTTATTACGGCTTCTACTTTTAACATTATGTGCTTTGGCACCCTCATTGCCCCAATATGTCTCTGTCAAAAAAGAGAAAAGTGGACGCAGAGTGCAGAGTGTTCCAAGAAAAATGGTCATCCTATTTAATCACGGAATTGAATGGGAAAGCTGTATGTTTGGTGTGTTCAGAGCATGTTGCAGTGCTGAAATAATATAACCTTCGTCGCCACTATGTGAGTCTTCATGCCGACAAATATGACAACTTTCAAGGACAGCAGAGATGAGAGAAGGTGAATGAACTGTTGGCGGGTCTGAAGAAACAGCAGTCTGTGTTTACTCACAGCCGAGACATCAGTGACGCTGCAGTGAAAGCTAGCTACCTCATTGCTAATGAAATCGCAGTGGCTTCAAAACCATTTAGTGAGGGTGAATTTGTAAAAACATGCATGATGAAGGCAGCGGAGATTGTGTGCCCTGAAAAGCGGCAGGCTTTTGCAAATATCAGCCTGACAAGAAACACAGTTGCAGACAGGATTTCCGATCTTTCAGTGGATTTGGACAGCCAGTTGAAGCAAAAAGTAAAGTCATTTATTGCATTTTCGGTTGCAATTGATGAAAGCACGGACATTACAGATGTTGCACAACTGGCCATTTTTTCATCCGCGGAGTTGATGACACATTGACCGTCACCGAGGAGTTCGTGGAGTTGGTGCCGATGACAGATACAACGACAGCAGCTGATATGAAGGTGGTCATCCAAACTGTTAATTTCATCCGATCCAGAAGCCTGAATCACCGTCAGTTTGACAGCCTTCTCAGAGAGAAAGACCACATCTATGGCCTGCCATACCACACTGAGGTAAGATGGTTAAGCCGAGGTGCTGTGCTGAGGCGTTTCTTTGATTTACAAGAAGAAATTGAACAGTTCATGGAAGAAAAGGGCAAACCAGTGTTAGAATTTCATTCCGCAGAATGGATGCCGGACCTTGCATTTATGGTGGATGTTACAGAGCACCTGAATAACTTGAACAAACAGCTGCAAGGGCGCAACAAAGTTGTCACGCAGTATTATGACAGCATACGTTCTTTCAAGTTGAAGCTGTCATTGTGGGAGACGCAACTTGCCGGTGGTGATGCAGCTCACATCCCCTGTCTGAAAAATGTGTGCGCGACCCAACATGTGGCAGACATGAAGCGGTTCAAAGATAAAATAACTGGACTGTTACGGGAGTTTGAGCAACGCTTTCAGATGTATGTTTATATGTTTTTATGTTGATGTGCTATTGTTTTTAATTGATTTTATTTTATTTGTATATTTAACCTATTCTTGACTCTGTGGTTCTTGCACTTGTTTGGGGAACAGGATTTCATTATTTTTATCTACATTTCTGCCTGAGAAATGACACCCTGATATAGTTCTGTGATCTGTGAAACAGTTCTGTTAATCACTGAGGCATTGTGTGTTTGTGTGTTCTTTTTCTTTAGAATTTTCAAATAAACTTGACGTGTTTTATGATTAATAGTGATGTTGTGCTTGTACTATTTTGGACACACTGTCCTCAGGCTCCAGCTTTATGTTGTATGTTGATAGTATTAAAACAAAGAAGACAATCTGAAGTTGTTGTTTTTAAGTTATATATACCATGATTTTTCCGGTCCGGCCCACTTGGGAATAGATTTTCCTCCATGTGGCCCCTGAGCTAAAATGAGTTTGACACCCCTGCTTTAAGACATGAAGGTCAGTCAATCCGGAAAGTTTCAACAACTTCGAAAGTTTCTTCAAGTGCAGTCACAAAAACCATCAAGCTCTATGACGAAACTGGCTCTCTTGAGGACCGCCACAGGAATGGAAGACCCAGATTTACCTCTGCTGCAAAGGATGAATTCATTAGAGTTAACTGCACCTCAGATTGCAGCCCAAATAAATGCTTCACAGAGTTCAAGTAACAGACACATCTCAACATCAACTGTTCAGAGGAGACTGCGTGAATCTGGTATTCATGGTCGATTTGCTGCGAAGAAACCACTACTAAAGGTCACCAATAAGAAGAAGAGACTTGCTTGGGCCAAGAAACACGAGCAATGGACATTAGACCGGTGGAAATCTGTCCTTTGGTCTGATGAGTCCAGATTTGAGATTTTTGGTTCCAACCGCCGTGTCTTTGTGAGACGCAGATTAGGTGAACGGATGATCTCCGCATGTGTGGTTCCCACCATGAAGCATGGAGGAGGAGGTGTGATGGTGTGGTGGTGCTTTGCTGGTGACACTGTCTATGAATTATTTATTTAGAATTCAAGGCACACTTAACCAGCATGGCTACCACAGCATTCTGCGGCGATACGCCATCCCATCTGGTTTGCACTTAGTGGGACTATCATTTGTTTTTCAACAGGACAATGACCCAAAACACACCTCCAGGCTGTGTAAGGGCTATTTGACCAAGAAGGAGAGTGATGGAGTGCTGCATCAGATGACCTGGCCTCCACAATCACCCGACCTCAACCCAATTGAGATGGTTTGGGATGAGTTGGACCGCAGAGTGAAGGGAAAGCAGCCAACAAGTGCTCAGCATATGTGGGAATTCCTTCAAGACTGTTGGAAAAGCATTCCTCATGAAGCTGGTTGAGAGAATGCCAAGAGTGTGCAAAGCTGTCATCAAGGCAAAGGGGGGCTACTTGAAAAAAACACTTTTTTGGTTACCACATGATTCCATATGTGTTATTTCATAGTTTTGATGTCTTCACTATTATTCTACAATGTAGAAAATTGTAAAAAAATAAATAAAAAAACCCCTTGAATGAGTAGGTGTCCATACTTTTGACTTGTACTGTACATGACAAGGATTGACAAGGAGTTGGCATGATAGCACAAACAGACTTGCACTCAGGCTAGCGGTTCTCAGAGAGAATTGGTGAATATTCCAGTGGTGCTACTGTGCTGTATGTATCAACATGCAGAATGAACCAGGCTAACTGCTGTATGTATCAACAGGCAGAATGAACCAGGCTAACTGCTGTATGTATCAACATGCAGAATGCTGCTTTCTTATCTATCTAGTAGGCGAAGATGTCTGACAAAAGTGACCTGAAAGCTGAGCTGGAGCGAAAGAAACAGAGGTTAGCTCAAATACGAGAGGAGAAGAAGAGAAAGGAGGAGGAGAGGAAAAAGAAGGAGGTGAGAGAAATTTATATTAATGTGAATGTGATGTGAACTTCTTTGGTTTAGTTCAGCATCTCAAATGAGGATTAATAGAGCATTTCTATGTGTATCAGAAGTCTGATTTGGGTTGGTAGTGTTTCTCAAGTCTTTGTGGAGCTACACTGGTTCAGACCCAAATGGCACCCTATTCCCTATATAATGCACTTCAAATGGCACCATATTCACTATATAATGCACTACTTTTGACCAGAGTCAGTGCACCATGTAGGGAATAGGGTGCTATGTGGGACACAGTCAGTGATACTTGTTCTCCCCAACACCTGTTCAGTCTGAGAGTCTTCAGCAGAAGACAGAGAATGTCTCTGAAGATTCTGACTTGGACCGCAAACGAAGAGAGACGGAAGCGCTGCTGCAGAGTATTGGGATCTCACCAGAACCACCATTAGGTATACCAGTCATAGCCTTGTTGCTTTCTGAGATCATCCTACCCTACCATCCTACTGACCTTTCTGAGATCATCCTACCCTACCCTCATACTGACCGTTCTGAGATCATCCTACCCTACCATCCTACTGACCTTTCTGAGATCATCCAACCCTACCATACTGACCAGTCTGAGGTCATCCTACCCTACCATCATACTGACCAGTCTGAGATCATCCTACCCTACCCTCATACTGACAAGTCTGAGATCATCCTACCCTACCCTCATACTGACCAGTGAGATCATCCTACCCTACCATTGTACTGACCAGTCTGAGATCATCCTACCCTACCATTGTACTGACCATTCTGAGATCATCCTACCCTACCATTGTACTGACCAGTCTGAGATCATCTTACCCTACCCTCATACTGACCTTTCTGAGATCATCCTACCCTACCATTGTACTGACCAGTCTGAGATCATCCTACCCTACCATTGTACTGACCAGTCTGAGATCATCCTACCCTACCATTGTACTGACCAGTCTGAGATCATCCTACCCTACCATTGTACTGACCAGTCTGAGATCATTCTACCCTACCATACTGACCAGTCTGAGATCATCCTACCCTACCCTCATACTGACCAGTCTGAGATCATCCTACCCTACCCTCATACTGACCATTCTGAGATCATCCTACCCTACCCTCATACTGACCTTTCTGAGATCATCCTACCCTACCATACTGACCTTTCTGAGATCATCCTACCCTACCATACTGACCTTTCTGAGATCATCCTACCCTACCATACTGTCCAGTCTGAGATCATTCTACCCTACCATACTGACCAGTCTGAGATCATCCTACCCTACCCTCATACTTTCCTTTTGTGGAAATAGTGTAGCATCACTTTCAAATAATTTTAATTATGTTTTTCCCCACTTAATTTCATTTTCATGAATAAGATTGTAGATTTAGTTGAGAGCACATATCGGGCCGGTTTCCCAGACACATATTAAACCTTGTCCTGGACTAAAAATATATTTAAATGGATAATCTCCAGTGAGAATGCTTTTCAGTCCTGGACTAGGTTTAATCTGTGTCTGGGAAACTGTCCCGTCCTGGTTTATTGAGTGTATCTTGTGGTAATGGTCTCCATACAAAACAATCAAGTCATGAAATTATCTACAGTTTACAGTATATCATATATTTAAACAAATACTTTACATTATTAATTGACTCTCATTTTTCCTTTATGGTATAAACACATTCAAATTCCATTGTGTCATTGTCAAAAGGTTAGTTATAAAAATCCACTGATTTGGTTGATAGGGTTATGGATTGATGGCAGCTCTTATTTATTTATTTTTTATGAAGATGTATTTATTTTAGGAGATTATGTATTCAATTCAGATGGTTAGTTTGATGTGATACAGTTGAAGTCGGAAGTTTCCATACACCTTAGCCAAATACATTTAAACTCAGTTTTTCACAATTCCTGACATTTAATCCTAGCAAAAATGCCCTGTTTTAGGTCAGTTAGGATCACCACTTTATTTTAAGAATGTGAAATGTCAGAATAATAGTAGAGAGAATTATTTATTTCAGCTTTTATTTCTTTCATCACATTCCCAGTGGGTCAGAAGTTTACATACACTCAATTAGTATTTGGTAGCATTGCCTTTAAATTGTTTAACTTTTGGTCAAACGTTTTGGGTAGTCTTCCACAAGCTTCCCACAATAAGTTGGGTGAATTTTGGCCCATTCCTCCTGACAGAGCTGGTGTAACGGAGTCAGGTTTGTAGGCCTCCTTGCTCGCACACGCTTTTTCAGTTCTGCCCACAAATTTTCTATAGGATTGAGGTCAGGGCTTTGTGATGGCCACTCCAATACATTACATTTACATTTTAGTCATTTAGCAGACGCTCTACCTTGACTTTGTTGTCCTTAAGCCATTTTGCCACAACTTTGGAAGTATGCTTGGGGTCATTGTCCATTTGGAAGATCATTTGCAACCAAGCTTTAACTTCCTGACTGATGTCTTGAGATGCTGCTTCAATATATCCACATAATTTTCCTCCCTCATGATGCCATCTATTTTGTGAAGTGCACCAGTCCCTCCTGCAGCAAAGCACCCCCACAGCATGATGCTGCCACCCCCGTGCTTCACGGTTGGGATGGTGTTCTTCAGCTTGCAAGCACCCCCCTTTTTCCTCCAAACATAACGATGGTCATTATGGCCAAACAGTTCTATTTTTGTTTCATCAGACCAGAGGACATTTCTCCAGAAAGTATGACATTAGTCCTCATGTGCAGTTGCAAACCATGGTCTGGCTTTTTTAAGGGGGTTTTGTAGCAGTGGCTTCTTCCTTGCTGAGCAGCCTTTCAGGTTATGTCGATATAGGACTCGTTTGACTGTGGATATAGATACTTTTGTACCTGTTTCCTCTAGCATCTTCACAAGGTCCTTTCCTGTTGTTCTGGGATTGATTTGCACTTTTCTTACCAAAGTACGTTCATCTCTAGGAGACAGAACGCGTCTCTTTCCTGAGCGGTATGACGGCTGCGTGTTTATACTTGCGTACTATTGTTTGTACAGATGAATGTGGTACCTTCAGGCGTTTGGAAATTGCTCCCAAGGATGAACCAGACTTGTGGAGGTCTACAATTATTTTTCTTAGGTCTTGGCTGATTTCTTTTGATTTTCCCATGATGTCAAGCAAAGAGGCACTGAGTTTGAAGGTAGGCCTTGAAATACATCCACAGGTACACCTCCAATTGACTCAAATGATGTCAATTAGCCTATCAGAAGCTTCTAAAGCCATGACATCATTTTCTGGAATTTTCCAAGCTGTTTAAAGACCCACTGGAATTGTGATACATTGAATTATAAGTGAAATAATCTGTCTGTAAACAATTGTTGGAAAAATTACTTGTGTCATGCACAAAGTAGATGTCCTAACCGACTTACCAAAACTATAGTTTGTTAATAAGAAATGTGTGGAGTGGTTGAAAAACAAGTTTTAATGACTCCAACCTAAGTGTATGTAAACTTCCGACTTCAACTGTACGTCAACATATTGAAAGAGTTCACACTAGTTGGCGATCGTGCCTTATTATGTCACAAACCAACAGGAGAGGAGTTGGGTATCCATCAGAAAGTACGTTTAACTATCTCTTCCTCTTTTCTTGTGAATTTTTTCTTCCTTTGCTTTGAACCATTTCAATCCATCCTGTTGATTTGGAACCCTTCTGGTTTGGCTGTGGGGTTCTGACTGCTGGCCACCAGGGCAGCCTCTGCAGCTCTTAACATGGGATACCTGTTATTTTCATTATTTAGTCCCAACCCCTATGTCTCCCTCTTCACAATCAGTGAGCACCACCAGTGATGCTGGCAGCCAGGGTCCGTAGATGGTTGGAGACGTAAGTATGGAACCTCTCTTTACTGATCACAATGTTTCAGTCCTGGACAGGTTAATCTGTGTCTGGGAAACGTCCGTCCGGTTTATTGAGTGTATCTTGTGGATTGGTCTCCATAAAACAATCAAGTCATGAAATTATTTCAGTTTACAGTATATCATATATTAAACAAATAATTACATTATTAATTGACTCTCATTTTCCCTTTATGGTATAAACACATTCAAATTCCATTGTGTCATTGTCAAAAGGTTAGTTATAAAAATCCATTGATTTGGTTGATAGGGTTATATATTCATGGATTGATGGCAGCTCTTTTTTTTAAATGAAGATTTATTTTAGGAGACTAGGTATGAATCTATGTATTCAATTCAGATGGTTAGTTTGATGTGATACAGTTGAAGTCGGAAGTTTTCATACACCTTAGCCAAATACATTTAAACTCAGTTTTTCACAATTCCTGACATTCAATCCTAGTAAAAATGCCCTGTCTTAGGTCAGTTAGGATCACCACTTTATTTTAAGAATGTGAAATGTCAGAATAATAGTAGAGAGAATGATTTATTTCAGCTTTTATTTCTTTCATCACATTCCCAGTGGGTCAGAAGTTTAATTGTTTAACTTGGGTCAAACGTTTTCCACAAGCTTCCCACAATAAGTTGGGTGAATTTTGGTCCATTCCTCCTGACAGAGCTGGTGTAACGGAGTCAGGTTTGTAGGCCTCCTTGCTTGCACGCGCTTTTTCAGTTCTGCCCACATATTTTCTATAGGATTGAGGTCAGGGCTTTGTGATGGCCACTCCAATACCTTGACTTTGTTGTCCTTAAGCCATTTTGCCACAACTTTGGAAGTATGCTTGGGGTCATTGTCCATTTGGAAGACCCATTTGCGACCAAGCTTCCTGACTGATGTCTTGAGATGTTGCTTCAATACAGTGGGGAAAAATTTTATTTAGTCAGCCACCAATTGTGCAAGTTCTCCCACTTAAAAAGATGAGAGAGGCCTGTTATTTTCATCATAGGTACACGTCAACTATGACAGACAAAATGAGAAAGAAAATCCAGAAAATCACATTGTAGGATTTTTTATGAATTTATTTGCAAATTATGGTGGAAAATAAGTATTTGGTCAATAACAAAAGTTTCTCAATACTTTGTTATATACCCTTTGTTGGCAATGACACAGGTCAAACGTTTTCTGTAAGTCTTCACAAGGTTTTCACACACTGTTGCTGGTATTTTGGCCCATTCCTCTATCCAGATCTCCTCTAGAGCAGTGATGTTTTGGGTCTGTCGCTGGGCAACACAGACTTTCAACTCCCTCCAAAGATTTTCTATGGGGTTGAGATCTGGAGACTGGCTAGGCCACTCCAGGACCTTGAAATGCTTCTTACGAAGCCACTCCTTCGTTGCCCGGGCGGTGTGTTTGGGATCATTGTCATGCTGAAAGACCCAGCCACGTTTCATCTTCAATGCCCTTGCTGATGGAAGGAGGTTTTCACTCAAAATCTCACGATACATGGCCCCATTCATTCTTTCCTTTACACGGATCAGTCGTCCTGGTCCCTTTGCAGAAAAACAGCCCCAAAGCATGATGTTTCCACCCCCATGCTTCACAGTAGGTATGGTGTTCTTTGGATGCAACTCAGCATTCTTTGTCCTCCAAACACGACGAGTTGAGTTTTTACCAAAAAGTTATATTTTGGTTTCATCTGACCATATGACATTCTCCCAATCCTCTTCTGGATCATCCAAATGCACTCTAGCAAACTTCAGACGGGCCTGGACATGTACTGGCTTAAGCAGGGGGACACGTCTGGCACTGCAGGATTTGAGTCCCTGGCGGAGTAGTGTGTTACTGATGGTAGGCTTTGTTACTTTGGTCCCAGCTCTCTGCAGGTCATTCACTAGGTCCCCCCGTGTGGTTCTGGGATTTTTGCTCACCGTTCTTGTGATCATTTTGACCCCACGGGGTGAGATCTTGCGTGGAGCCCCAGATCGAGGGAGATTATCAGTGGTCTTGTATGTCTTCCATTTCCTAATAATTGCTCCCACAGTTGATTTCTTCAAACCAAGCTGCTTACCTATTGCAGATTCATTCTTCCCAGCCTGGTGCAGGTCTACAATTTTGTTTCTGGTGTCCTTTGACAGCTCTTTGGTCTTGGCCATAGTGAAGTTTGGAGTGTGACTGTTTGAGGTTGTGGACAGGTGTCTTTTATACTGATAACAAGTTCAAAATCAATTTGTCTGTCATAGTTGACGTGTACCTATGATGAAAATTACAGGCCTCTCTCATATTTTTAAGTGGGAGAACTTGCACAATTGGTGGCTGACTAAATACCTTTTTCCCCCACTGTATATCCACATAATTTTCATGATGTCATCTATTTTGTGAAGTGCACCAGTCCCTCCTGCAGCAAAGCACCCCCACAGCATGATGCTGCCACCCCCGTGCTTCACGGTTGGGATGATGTTCTTCGGTTGCAAGCACCTCCCTATTTCCTCCAAACATAACGATGGTCATTATGGCCAAACAGTTCTATTTTTGTTTCATCAGACCAGAGGACATTTCTCCAGAAAGTACGATCTTTGTCCCCATGTGCAGTTGCAAACCGTAGTCTGGCTTTTTTATGGCGGTTTTGGAGCAGTGGCTTCTTCCTTGCTGAGCGGCCTTTCAGGTTATGTCAATATAGGACTTGTTCACAAGGTCCTTTGCTGTTGTTCTGGGATTGATTTGCACTTTTTGCACCAAAGTACGTTCATCTCTAGGAGACAGAACGCGTCTCTTTCCTGAGCGGTATGACGGCTGCGTGGTCCCATGGTGTTTATACCTGCGTACTATTGTTTGTACAGATGAATGTGGTACCTTCAGGCGTTTGGAAATTGCTCCCAAGGATGAACCAGACTTGTGGAGGTCTACAATTATTTTTCTTAGGTCTTGGCTGATTTCTTTTGATTTTCCCATGATGTCAAGCAAAGAGGCACTGAGTTTGAAGGTAGACCTTGAAATACATCCACAGGTACACCTCCAATTGACTCAAATGATGTCAATTAGCCTATCAGAAGCTTCTAAAGCCATGACATCATTTTCTGGAATTTTCCAAGCTGTTTAAAGACACAGTCAACTTAGTGTATGTAAATTTCTGACCCACTGGAATTGTGATACATTGAATTATAAGTGAAATAATCTGTCTGTAAACAATTGTTGGAAAAATTACTTGTGTCATGCACAAAGTAGATGTCCTAACCGACTTACCAAAACTATAGTTTGTTAATAAGAAATGTGTGGAGTGGTTGAAAAACAAGTTTTAATGACTCCAACCTAAGTGTATGTAAACTTCCGACTTCAACTGTACGTCAACATATTGAAAGAGTTCACACTAGTTGGCGGTCGTGCCTTATTATGTCACAAACCAACAGGAGAGGAGTTGGGTATCCTTTAGAAAGTACGTTTAACTATCTCTTCCTCTTTTCTTGTGAATTTTTTCTTCCTTTGCTTTGAACCATTTCAATCCATCCTGTTGATTTGGAACCCTTCTGGTTTGGCTGTTGGGGTCTGACTGCTGGCCACCAGTGCAGCCTCTGCAGCTCTTAACATGGGATACCTGTTATTTTCATTATTTAGTCCCAACCCCTATGTCTCCCTCTTCACAATCAGTGAGCACCACCAGTGATGCTGGCAGCCAGGAGTCCGTAGATGGTGGGACAGTGGGAAGGTATAGAACCTGCTCTTTACTGTATCACACACCGACACACACACACTCACACACACACACACACACACACACACAACTGCTATCAGATGTAGTATTGATGTCATGGAAAATGTTCACCGTTACAAACAAGCAAAAGGCATTTTAGTACTGTTCAATTATTTTGCATATGAACACACATAGACACATGGATGTACAACTGGATAGAATGGCATTGGCATTATAGAAAAAAAGGTATATTGTATGCTAAAAGCTTCGGTACCCTCTCTCTTTGGTTCTAACAATTCCTAAATGTATTGTCTATCAATGTAGCTAACATCATGAACACATGACATTGAACACAATAACTGTGGAAATGACTGCATCCCGAATGGCACCCTATTCCCTACAGTAAATAGTATATAGTGCACTACTTTTGACAAGGACCCATAGGGCTTCTGGTCAAAAGTAGGGCTCTATGTAGGGAAAAGGGTGCCATTTGGGACTCAGACAATGTGTATGTGCACAGAGTCTCTGATGTGAATCCCTTCTCTTTTCATCTTGTAATGGGACTTCAGATATAGGTAAGAACCAGAGTCCATGTAGTAGTGATTATGGAGAGGAGGTTTCTGTTCAGGGAGACTTCAGTGTCGTCGTGCAGTGACATCAGTTGATTATGTGACATCAGTGACATCAGTTGATTATGTGACATCAGTGACATCAGTTGATTATGTGACATCAGTGACATCAGTTGATTATGTGTGGTACTTGATCATTTTGTGACCTTGTAAGATTCTCAAATTGTATGAAGACAGTGAAACTGTGAATGTAATTTCTATTGAAGCAGTGAAACTGTGAATGTAACTTCTATTGAAGCAGTGAAACTGTGAATGTAACTTCTATTGAAGCAGTGGAACTGTGAATGTAACTTCTATTGAAGCAGTGGAACTGTGAATGTAACTTCTATTGAAGCAGTGGAACTGTGAATGTAACTTCTATTGAAGCAGTGGAACTGTGAATGTGACTGTGTCCCAAATGGAACCCTATTCCCCATATAGTCAACTATTTTTGACCAGAGCCCTATGAGCCCTGGTCAGAATTTGTGCACTACTACATAGAAAATAGGGTGGTATTTGGGATCCATCCTGTGTTTTGTTTAATGTTTGTTTTGTGTACCACTGTCATGCATGAATTCATATGTTCTGAAAGTGATGTCCCTTGAGTTGATGTATTGACTCATTTATGCTGTTTTGGCGCCCCCATGCTGCTGTGTTTAGGACCCTGCAGTGGGACACGGACCCCTCTGCTCTCCAGCTGCAGGCCGACTCTGAGCTGGGGTATGTCTTTCCTCTTGATGCTGCTCCCAAATGGCACCCTATTCCCGATATAGTGCACTACTTTTGACCAGAGCCCATAGGACTTACACAAAGGTTATATTTTTCTTGACTGATAGCAGAGTGTTCACTGTATGTTTTCTAAACAATTTATTCCATCTTTCAGGCGCAGGATGCACAGACTTGGAGCGTCAAAAATAGTACAGATTGACTTCCTTCCCAAAGAGCTTGTGACCTACACTAAAGAGACCCAGACTCCTTCAGCAGCACATCAATCTGAAGGTAATGAATATTGAGTTGGCTGTTGAGTTGACTCTTGAATTTGATATGACTCTTGAGTTGACTCTTGAAATTGACTCTTGAGTTGACTCTTGAGATGACTCTTGAATTTGACTCTTGAATTTAACTTTTGAGTTGACTCTTGAAGTTGACTCTTGATTTGACTCTTGAGTTGACTCTTGAAGTTGACTCCTGAGTTGACTCTTGAAGTTGACTCTTGAGTTGACACTTGAAGTTGACTCTTGAAGTTGACTCTTGAAGTTGACTCTTGAGTTGACTCCTGAAGTTGACTCTTGATGTTGACTCTTGATGTTGACTCTTGAAGTTGATTCTTGAAGTTGACTCTTGTAGTTGACTCTTGAAGTTGACTCTTGAAATTGACTCTTGAAATTGACAATTTTAATGCAGAGCTCTAGGTTGGTTTGTACGATTGGGTATGCTTGATATTTTTCAATGTGCTCTCTCCCACAGATTGAAAGAATGTTGAAGCCTATGTTGTATGTATGTGTGTAACACAGGAGGTTGGTGGCACCTTAATAGGGTAGAACGGGCTCGCGGTAATGACTGGAGCGGAATAGGTGGAATGGTATCAAATACATCAAACACATGGTTTCCATGTATTTGATGCCATTCTATTTGCTCCGTTCCGGCCATTGTTAAGAGCCGTTCTCCCCTCAGCAGACTCCTGTGGTGTAGAACATAAAACATGTGTTTCCTCCCAGAAGAAGAAGAGGATGAGGAGGGCACTGAGGCTAAAGCTGCCCCTCAGACTGACCAGCCCGAGGAGGAGGGAGAGGCAGAGGACAGTAAAGAGGGTAATAATTACTTGATGTACTTTAACACACTACTTTTAGGAAAAGCACTCGCACATCTGAGGTTACTTGTTGCATGGGAATTATTTGATGATAAATCAGATCTAGCCAAACATATAAACCAGGGTTCTTCAATTCCGGTCCTGGAGGGCCGAAACACCTCTGTTTTTCATCGTCTCCTTCTAATCAGGGGCTAATTCAGACCTGGGACACCAGGTGAGTGCAATTAACTACCAGGTAGAAATAAAAAACAGAAGTGTTTCGGCCCTCCAGGACCGGAATTGAAGAACCCTGATATAAACCAACATATGTTCTCAACACTGGTATCACAATATGTGTGTTCCTCTCAGCCCACCCCAGAGAGCTGACGGAGGAGGAGAGGGAACAGATCCTTCACTCCGAGGACTTCCTGGTCTTCTTTGAGCGGTCGGTCTCTGTGGTGGAGCGGGCGCTGGCCGAGGAGGGAGACATCTTCTTCGACTACAGCGGCCGGGACCTGGAGGACAAAGAAGGGTGATAACATTGAGCATGGGGCGTGTCCCAAATGGCACCCTGATCCCTATATAGTGCACTACTTTTGACCAAGGTCCATAGGGCTCATCAGCCCATAGGGCTCATCACAGCTTTGTAATGAATTTTCCATGAATATAAGACAGTCTCAACAGCCAATTATTGCAGGATCTCCATTTGGGATAAACACCATGTTCCCTGTGGATGGATGTGATAGGAGGAATAAGTACACATTACACTGGAGTAGCACTGGAGTAGCACTGGAGTAGCACTGGAGTAGCACTGGAATAGCACTGGAGTAGAACTGGAGTAGCACTGGAGTAGCACTGGAGTAGAACTGGAGTAGAACTGGAGTAGCACTGGAGTAGCACTGGAGTAGCACTGGAGTAGCACTGGAGTAGAACTAGAGTAGCACTGGAGTAGAACTGGAGTAGCACTGGAGTGAACATCTTTTCCATTTCTCTTTCTCCCTTATCAGGGACATGCAAGGTGGATCCAATCTGTCTTTCAACCGTGTGTTCCATGATGAGCACTGGTCCAAACACCGAGTAGTCACCTGCTTAGACTGGTCCCCACAGGTACAATGGAACTTTCTCCCAGTTTATAACATATCTAATGTATCTACTTCCTTCATTTCTTTTATTTCTCTATGTCAAGACCACAGAACTAGAATGAATGCCACTTTGAGTGCACCCCTGAGTTTACCAGTCATGATCAGAGGTTCCAAGCCCGTTCTGTTCATTCCATTTCTATGGTCAAGACAGAAGAAGAAGATTTGGTTGAAGTAACAATCCAGTCCTGTTCTATACTATATTGTGTATTTGCAGTACCCTGAACTGATGGTGGCCTCTTACAACAGCAACGAGGATGCTCCACACGAGCCTGATGGGATAGCGCTGGTGTGGAACATGAAATTCAAGAAGACTACTGCAGAGTATACGTTTCACTGCCAGGTCAGCAGCTGTTGACTCAATCAGATTTGTTCATCTGATGTGACGTAAGACTGATGCTTGAGAGATGATAGAAGCATGACATTTCATCATAGAACGTTGAAGTAATTTCACTTGATAACATTCAGAACCATAAGTTAAAAACATAATGGAAGGGAATGTATTGTTGAATATCACATGATATAACATGGTTTAACTTGATTAAAATAATTAATCTATAGGTCTAGGTAGTTTTGCTGTATATTGGCCATCTAATTTTACTCTCTCTCTCTCTCTCTCTCTCGCTCTCTCTCTCTCTCTCTCTCTCTCTCTCTCTCTCTCTCTCTCTCTCTGTCTTTCTCTCTGTCTCTCTCTCTCTCTCTCTCTCTCTCTCTGTCTTTCTCTCTGTCTCTATCTCACTCTCTCTCTCTGTCTCTCTCCCTCTCTCTCTCTCTTTCTCTCTCCCTCTCCCTCCCTCTCTCTGTCTCAGTCGTCAGTGATGTCTGTGGGCTTTGCTCAGTTCCATCCTAACCTGGTGGTGGGGGGAACGTACTCAGGACAGATTGTGTTGTGGGATAATCGTAGTCACAGGAGGACCCCCGTCCAGAGGACCCCTCTGTCTGCTGCGGCACACACTGTAAGGTTAACAGAACACCTCCCTCCACACACTGTAAGCTAACAAACACCTCCCTCCACACACTGTAAGCTAACAAACACCTCCCTCCACCACACTGTAAGTTAACAAACACCCCCTCCACACACTGTGACGTAACATAACACCTCCCTGCACACACTGTAAGCTAACAGACACCTCCCTCCACACACTGTAAGCTAACAGAACACCTCCCTCCACACACTGTAAGCTGACAACACCTCCCTCCACACACTGTAAGCTTAACAAACACCTCCCTCCACACACTGTAAGCTACAAACACCTCCTCCACACACTGTAAGCTAACAAACACCTCCCTCCACACACTGTAAGCTAACAACACCTCCCTCCACACTGTAAGCTAACAACACCTCCCTCCACACACTGTAAGCTAACACAAACACCTCCCGCCACACACGGTAAGCTAACAAACACCTCCTCCACACACTGTAAGCTAACAAACACCTCCCTCCACACACTGTAAGCTAACAAACACCTCCCTCCACACACTGTAAGCTAACAAACACCTCCCTCCACACACTGTAAGCTAACAGACACCTCCCTCCACACACTGTAAGCTAACAAACACCTCCCTCCACACACTGTAAGATAACAAACACCTCCCTGCACACACTGTAAGCTAACAGACACCTCCCTCCACACACTGTAAGCTAACAGACACCTCCCTCCACACACTGTAAGCTGACAAACACCTCCCTCCACACACTGTAAGCTAACAAACACCTCCCTCCACACACTGTAAGCTAACAAACACCTCCCTCCACACACTGTAAGCTAACAGACACCTTCCTCCACACACTGTAAGCTAACAGACACCTCCCTCCACACACTGTAAGCTAACAAACACCTCCCTCTCATATACTCTACTGTAGCGTGTTTGTATCAGTGTGACCTCTGGGGCCGTATCAAACTTTATAGAGTAGGAGTGCTGATCTAGGATCAGGTCTCCTGTGTCCATGGAATCTTATTCATTGTCATCTAAAAACTCCTAATCTGAGATGCTTAATATATACGTCCCCTGATCTCTGATTCAAACTAGTTTGTTTGGCATTTTTAAAAACGAATTCAAAAAGATTTCAAACAGATTTGTGTTAACCTCATCCCCAGGCCAATTGCATATAGGAAGCGTTGGGAGGAAGTGTCTGGGGAAGAAGATTAGATTTATGGTTACATATCTAAGAACCGAGCTACTGTTCTTTCCTCTAGCACCCAGTGTACTGTGTGAACGTTGTGGGTACCCAGAATGCCAACAACCTGATAACAGTGTCTACTGATGGGAAGATGTGCTCCTGGAGTCTAGACATGCTCTCTCAGCCACAGGTGAGCAGAGGGGCATCATGTTGCGTCCTAAATGATACCCTATTCCCTTTATAGTGCCCTACATTTGACCAGGGCCCAAAATTAGTGCACTGTATAGGGAATAGGGTGCCATTTGGGATGCATATATCGCGATAAACTCCAATTAATTCTCCTCAGAGAATGTATCTAAATAAATGATTTAATTATATATTATTATCCATAAAGAAAATGACTAGTATTTGTCTTTGTTCCATGTTTATTGAGGTAAACTACATGAGCATGCATTTAACAGGAGAGTATGGAGCTGGTGTACAATAAGTCCAAGCCTGTAGCAGTAACAGGAATGGCCTTCCCTGCCGGAGATGTTAACAACTATGTGGTAGGAAGCGAGGAAGGGATGGTGTACTCTGCGTCCCGCCACGGCAGGTTAGTGAGCTGAGGCGCAACAGGGACAGTTATTTATAACATCAATGTGTCTTCATGTTTCCATAGAAACTGCACATGACGTTGGGGGATGTGTGTAAAGTCAGTCTCTCAAATTATCTATATTTTACAGTGTTACAAGTGAATGCAACCTCATGAAGTTGATGTTATTTATTTTTTCATAGAAACAGCACAAGACGTTTGGGATTTTGTGTGTATCCTTCGACCAACCAATCTTAAGGCTCATTGTACTAAGTGAATGCCTTGTGATGTTGTTGTGTGCAGTAAAGCAGGTATAGCGGAGATGTTTGAGGGGCACCAGGGCCCAGTGACTGGGATCAGCTGCCATAACGCTGTGGGCACTGTCGACTTCTCACACCTCTTCATCACGTCCTCCTTTGACTGGACAGTCAAACTGTGGTCAACCAAGGTAAGACAAGTCTCTACTCAGGGTATTATCCCTGTTCCCTGATCTACAATTTAAACGAACAATTACAAGACAATTATAACTGCCACTCAAGGCCTCAAAGAACCCTCAGCAGTATCAGCATTCCTCGTGCTGTCTCCATAGAATTAGAATGAAATAGAATTCTCATTGAATAGAATTCTCATTTGTCATTCTGTCTGTGTCTGCCTCTCTCTCTCCAGCACAACAAGCCACTGTACTCTTTTGAGGATAATGCAGACTATGTCTATGATGTCAGTTGGTCCCCTGTGCATCCGGCTCTCTTTGCCTCCGTGGATGGGATGGGCCGTTTGGACCTGTGGAACCTCAACAATGACACTGAGGTGAGTCAAACAACCTCATTGGTTACTTTACTTACTTATGGCCCATCGTTCCTTTGGCAGCATAGGCCATCGATGACTCCTCTCCTTCACACTCTGTTCTGGGCAGTCTCCTCCAGCACGTTCCTCTACATCACACTCTGTTCTGGGCAGTCTCCTCCAGCACGTTCCTCTCCATCACACTCTGTTCTGGGCAGTCTCCTCCAGCACGTTCCTCTCCATCACACTCTGTTCTGGGCAGTCTCCTCCAGCACGTTCCTCTCCATCACACTCTGTTCTGGGCAGTCTCCTCCAGCTGGTTCCTCTCCATCACACTCTGTTCTGGGCAGTCCTCCAGCTGGTTCCTCTCCATCACACTCTGTTCTGGGCAGTCTCCTCCAGCACGTTCTTCTCCATCACACTCTGTTCTGGGCAGTCTCCTCCAGCACGTTCTTCTCCATCACACTCTGTTCTGGGCAGTCTCCTCCAGCTGGTTCCTCTCCATCACACTCTGTTCTGGGCAGTCTCCTCCAGCTGGTTCCTCTCCATCACACTGTTCTGGGCAGTCTCCTCCAGCTGGTTCCTCTCCATCACACTCTGTTCTGGGCAGTCTCCTCCAGCTGGTTCCTCTCCATCACACTCTGTTCTGGGCAGTCTCCTCCAGCTGATTCCTCTCCATTACAGTTTTTCTTAGTTAATTGGTTACCACTGTACCGTTTCCTTTTATACTGTACTGGATGTGTATGATGCAGATTAGGATTTGATCATATTCCTACATAGCTATCTGTTGTTGGTATGTTGTTGTAAGATAATATGAAACTTTTTTAAAAGGTGCCCACAGCGAGTGTGACTATCGAGGGGGCATGTGCTCTGAACCGTGTGAGATGGGCGTCGGGAGGCAGAGAGGTTGCCGTGGGTGACTCGGAGGGTCGTGTCTGGATCTACGATGTGGGAGAGGTGAAATAATTAAGTCCATAATTTAAAGGGTTCTAACAATGAGAGAATGGGTGCTGTACCTGAAACAAGATGAAACGCATTGCCTTGTTGTTGTGCCTTTTGATTCTTATTCACTTGTTGCTGAAATGTGACACATTAGTAGACTTAGTTAGCCTACTGTTGTTTCTATCCAATATGTGACAGACCATGTCTGTCTCCTGTAGCTGGCAGTGCCACACCCTGAGGACTGGAGCCGCTTCGCCCGCACCCTGGTTGAGATCCGTGCCAATCGCGGTGATGGAGAGGAGGAGGGGGCCGTGGAGCTGGCAGCCTGAAACCTTCTCACTCTCTCATCAATGGATGCAACGTTTCAGGACTGACACCCTGATAACAGACAGTTACAGATAACAAACCACAATTTACTGACATAACAACAGCAGCATGCATGCTTTAGTGAGATTCAAGTCACCGTGATCAGACTGACTCCAAGTTTATGCTCCATAGATCAAAGCAAGAAACAACAATTTGCCCAGGGCAACAACTGTTCTTACTAGGGTTATTTATTTGTTATTGGTTAATTAAACAATTGATATTTATGTGCTTAATATCAAAATCATATGGCTTGCAATGATAATGTGCTTATGGGTCTGACGTGGGTCTAAATGTTGGAGTAAGCTAGATATGATCCTTATATTATACTCAGACTACTCATGAGGTTTGATGATCAGATTCCTGTGATCTGTTCATGTTGTTCTTTCATCCAGGTTATAAAAGCGGCATCATTGTTTTCTCAAGATATCCAAGTTAACCTGTAATAATGTTTTTGAAGTAGCTCTGGGCTTATCAGCATGCTAATTATTACATTTTGGTTGCTGTTAAACAACTTTGTTTTGTTTTAAGGAATACGTCTAAATATGTATGGCTTTTTGCTGTAAAGACTACAATTGACAATAAAATAAGGATAACTTAAATACCGAACCATATTGCCATAATTGATGGGGGAAAATGTATGGAGGGATCCAGAAATCTAACAAAGCAGCCTATATGGGCTACTGTAGTAGAAGCTTTAGGGTTATGGTTGAAGATAATAAATTTACAGTGTGTATTGAATTGTACATTTTATTACCATTATTAAATGTTCCACCTATGCCATTTCTGTGTTTGATATTGAATCGAAAGATTTGTACAGTAATTTGATATAAACCATCCCCAGTCAGCTACTGTAGGCTATTGATTGAGGTCAGTTGAAGCATCATCGTGTGAATGTACTGTGCGTCCTACTTTGAGAATTGACCTATTGCGAGCGTTTGAAAGAGGTCATCTTGGTAAAGAGGTGGCTTTATTCTTTCTTTGTCCACTGTCGTTTACCTCTTATTATAGCTCAGTGGTCATTGATGGTCATTTTCGAACGTACCCGAATCCACGCAGCAGGCGGAGTTCTGTTTCCATGACAATTACGTCAATATTAGTGTCGGGTAACTAAAGGTCATGCTAAAGACAAGCGCGAGTCAGACAGAAGGAAACAGAATGGCGGAGGTAAACTTAACTGTTGTGCTTAAAACGGCAAGATATTCTCGTATTGTGTGGCTTCAGTGTCGTTTCGTTTTCGTGGTACTTGGTTTCTTCTATTCGTGGTCGCGGGAAGGACACAGTCTGAGCGGAGCAAAGCCTCGCTAGTAAGCCTGAAGGAGTTTGACTTTACTCGGAAGGATAGCTCAGCTGGCTAGCTGAACATGCTAATCTGCCAGATGACTTTTTGACAGTGTTTTTGCTAGCCAGTTCGCTAAATGACAGGCGACTAAAGCCAAGTAAAGAACTGTAGTTAGCTACCTAGTAATCCATGTTTACGTTGAATATTGTGAAGCTACTTGTTGGCCTTTCACCAGTTTACTTTTGCCCGTGTTCCCTTGCTAGCTTTGTGCTTGACTGCACTCTGCAGAGGTTAGCAGCACTAGCGGTAGCTAGCAGTACAAGTTCGTTTCGTCCTTTAAAAACCACATCTATTAAAGCCAAGTCAAGCAAGCTAGCTTCTGTCTCTATTTTCTAGAACGTTTGTTCTAATGCTGATTGAATTTAGCAAATGCTATAGCTAGCTTTTTTGTTAGCTAATGTTTCTAACTAGCTTGTTTTTAGATTTATGATATAGCAGGACTCTGAAGAAATTAATAATGTAGATCAAGATTTGAAATGGAATGTTTTTCACTTAGAGCAAAACCCAGGTTCTGAGTTAGTTACACCGTTATTCTGGCAGATCGTTGAAATCCAACGTCAAGTTCTTCGTCATCTCTGGTGTCTCTAAAATGACACCGTATGAGGGACACAAAGTCAATGGAATGACAACGACACTGAATGTTGTATTGTATGGATAGATAAACTTGTCAATATTGGTTTATTTGGCTTGTACATGTTTTCTCACAGCCCTGTAGGGGGCAACCAAGGTCAAAGTTGACCTTTGTATTGAATTCCATGTCCTTAGCTGCTATTATCAGTGACAGACTGCATACAGTAGTATCATCTTTACAGATCTGTTCAGTGTTTTGTGAAGATTGGTTGTCTGGTGCTGTAAACATCCCCGACTGGAAGCTGTATTGTACATGTTCTAGCTTTCAGTAGGGTGTTTGCTGCTCCAGGCTTCCTCAGACTCCTAGACTAGTGTTGTTGTTCATAGGTATAGGGCTGCATTCCAATCAAAATGAGCACCTTCTCTTCCTCCCATCACTTGGAGGAGACCCTCCAGTGATGTATGTATGGCGGAGTGGAGGAGGGAAGAGGTCGCAAGTAAAAGTGGATTGGGACCACAGGAGGCTGCTGAGGGGAGGACGGCTCATAATAATGGCCAGAACATAGTGAATGTAATGGCCTCACACATGGAAACCATTTGTTTGATTTATTTGATACCATTCCATCTATTCCGCTCCAGTCATTACCACGAGCCCGTTCTACCCTATTGAGGTGCCACCAACCTCCTGTGATTGGCACTTGCCTCAGGTTTGCATCTTCATTTGAATAACTGAATGTTAATGTTTGTTCGTACATCTGGTGTTTCCCAGACAAAAGTGTGTCTGACTCAAATGAGTGCGTTTTTGTTTACTCCCAGTTCTACTGCTGTAGAAATGGAAGTATCCTAGCTTCTCCGTTCCGAGTGTAGTTACTGTAAACATCCTACACTCAGCTATAGCCTGTATGGATGGCTGGGGAGAGGGTGTTTACTTTGACTGGCTTGGATAGCCTCAATCTGTATGGATGGGATTTTATGGATCACTCATGAAGAGATGGAAGGATTTATTTTTGTACAAACAGCCTCAACAAACAGAGAAGGCGGCTGCAATTAATTCCCATAGTTCCCATGGTTTTTATGAGAAACCTAACATGTAGAAGATGCAATCAATGGATGATGTTTGGATGCATTGTCACTGATCAAAAAAATGACAATACTGTTTGTTGTTATTGCAAAAAAAATAAACTTCTCAAATGTGTATTGATTGACCCTGCTTCTTTTATTCCTTAGGATGTTTATAATGTATATCCCATTTTACAGCATACTATTAGCCTAACATTTTTATGGACCTGGTTGAAAATGGTAGTGATTGCTGAAGAAAATGTACATTTATTCACAAACTGAAATGGAAACTGTCACCATGTGATAACTGATGTTATTGCCAGTTCACACACCTGTATTCAAAATCCATGTAGGCTACATACATTTTAAGCTGAATCATTTCATCACATTATTTATATAAAGTACAGTTTTCTACTGTTATGGGAACACATTTCATAACTATTGAGCATGTATATCTGCGCGTGAGTAACCAATCTTGATTTGTCAGAGGATTTTGAATTAAGGAGAGTACTGTACACGATCCCATTCAAAAGAGAATGGAGTGGAAACCTTTTACAAATGTATCAAGGGTAGGCTATGGCTATTGGTCATCCCAGCCACAGGGGGAGCACATCCCAAACCAGCCTGCTGCTCTCTCCACAGGAAGACTTTATCCGCCATATTTATTGTCGCAGATTCGCCAGAAACCTTCCTCAAAACAAATAAAAATACGATTTTGAATTATTTATTCAAGATGTAATGTAGATATGTACATTTATTTATGTAACTCTTAGGATATTACGTTTTATTTTACAAACATGGAGACGTCAAATGCAGGTAAGTACTCGATTGTTTACCTTTTCGTACAGGAACATCTCGGAGAAATAACATTTCTTAGCTAGGTAAAAGTAGCAAGCTAGCCAACAGATGTAGTCAAATTACTCATTATGTGAAGTTTCTTAAATGCTAAAAGTGTGGCACATAATTACCGTGACCAGCAACAACATTGACAGCACATTTATTGCAGCTAAATGTCCGGCATAAAGTTATTGGATTTAGTTTGCAAACAAAGTATTTATCACGAAACTGTTCCTGTTTCTCCCAGCGTGTAGCTAGCTTTATCCATACTACAGAGGAGTCAGGAGTTAAACCATCTTTGCTGTTGCAGTGGTAACTAAACCTGTCAGGAGAGCTACAGAGCAAACCAATAAACTATATTGCACTGATCTCATTCCATTTCAGTATTCTCACCTTGTATTTGCTAGACTGGCTTGGATCATGTAGGCCCTAGCTAGGATTGAATTCAATATTTTAAATGAAAGACAGGGAAGTAACTAGCTAGAGGAAAAATATGCAGCCCCTGACCAAAGAATGAACCACACAGAACTAACTATAAAGGCCAATGCACTGCCAGCCTATTGAAAATATCTAATTTCCTTTGAAGTCATTTAGCAGACACTCTTCTCCAGAGTGACATACAGTAGTGGGTCACACATGATCATACCCTTTTTTTCTTGCGTACTGGTCCCCCGTGGGAACCGAACCCACAATCCTGACGTCACAAGCACCATGGTCTACCAACTATCAATTCAACTTTCAATGTGTAATCATATTATTATTAGGCCGTTTTCCACGGTCAAAAATGTATCTGCAGATGTGTTCATAAATACACATTAATCTTGGCCTGCCTGGCTGTTAATTCACAGGTGGGACTTCCTCCATCTTCATGTGTAAACTGTGCAACCTGTTCTCCCCACACCCAGCACAGCTCCTCTCCCACGTGTCTGAGAAGCACCACACAGAGGGGCTCAACCCTGATGACATCATTGTGGCCCTCATGCCATTGACAGCTCCACTGGAGAAGGGTGGAGGTGGAGGTGAGCACCTCTTCAAAGCAGCCAGGGCTACTAAGGGTGGAGGTGGAGGTGAGCACCTCCTCAAAGCAGCCAGGGATACTAAGGGAGGAGGTGGAGGTGAGCACCTCTTCAAAGCAGCCAGGGATACTAAGGGTGGAGGTGAGCACCTCTTCAAAGCAGCCAGGGATACTAAGGGAGGAGGTGGAGGTGAGCACCTCTTCAAAGCAGCCAGGGATACTAAGGGTGGAGGTGGAGGTGAGCACCTCTTCAAAGCAGCCAGGGATACTAAGGGTGGAGGTGAGCACCTCTTCGAAGCAGCCAGGGATACTAGGGCATTGCAACAACCGACTGTATTATCATGTTTCTTTGTTTTTCACCAAAGGTGAACGATCTGAATAATTGGCTACTGAGTGCCTCGGTAGTCCTTCAAACATTTGTAACTGATTGTAATCCGATTTTGACAGCTCTTTTTAATCCAGGACTAGGCTTAATTTGTGTCTGGGAAACCGGCCCTATAGGTCTGTCTGTTTCTAATAGAGTGATTGATGGCAGTGATCATATTTCCCCCACAGATAGCCCTGTCAAGAGGAAACGAGGACGTCCTAAGGGCTCAACCAAGAAGATTGTAGCTGTTGGGCACATGACAGAGACTACTAGCCCCAACCAGAAGAAGCAGAAACAACAGACAGTAGAGGCCCAATCAGAAGCTGGGCCAGTGGAAGAACCAGAGGACGACAATGCTCTGGACTGTAAGAAGTGCAACCGTGTGTTCGGCAACAAGCGACAGATCATGAAACACATCTGCTTGATAGACCTCAGAGAGGATGGGGGAAGAGGAGGACAACGGTATGTGTGAAGTGAACTGTTTTATGCTAAAATGCTTAGTGTCTGTTTAGAATAGATTGGAATAGAATAGTGCTTTATGGTCCATCTAGGGATGCGTCCCAAATGGCACCCTATTCCCTATATAGTGCACTACTTTTGACCAGGGTCCATACACTACATGACCAAAAGTATGTGGACACCTGCTTGTCGAACATCTCATTCCAAAATCATGGGCATTAATATGGAGTTGGTTCCCCCTTAGCTGCTATAACAGCCTCCACTCCTCTGGGAAGGCTTTCCACTAGATGTTGGAACAGTGCTGCGGGGTACTTGCTTCCATTCAGCCACAATAGTGAGTTTGGGCACTGATGTTGGGCGATTAGGCCTGGCTCGCAGTCGGCGTTCCCAATTCATCCCAAGGGTGCTCGATGGGGTTGAGGTCAGGGCTCTGTGCAGGCCAGACAAGTTCTTCCACACCGATCTCGACAAACCATTTCTGTATGGACCTCACTTTGTGCACGGAGGCATTGTCATACTGAAACAGGAAAGGGTCTTCCCCAAACTGTTGCCACAAAGTTGGAAGCACAGAATCATCTTGAATGTCATTGTATGCTGTAGCGTTAAGATTTCCCTTCAGTGGAACTAAGGGGCCTAGCCCGAACCATTATTCCTCCTCCACCAAACTTTACAGTTGGCACTATGCATTGGGGCAGGTAGCGTTCTCTTGGCATCCGCCAAACTCAGATTCGTCCGTTGGACTGCCAGATGGTGAAGCGTGATTCATCACTCCAGAGAACGCGTTTCCACTGCTCCAGAGTCCAATGGCGGCAAGCTTTACACCACTCCAGCCGACGCTTGGCATTGCGCATGGTGATCTTAGGCTTGTGTGTGGCTGCTCGGCCAAAGAAACCCATTTCATGAAGCTCCCGACGAACAGTTATTGTGCTAACGTTACTTCCAGAGGCAGTTTGGAACTCGGTAGTGAGTGTTGCAACAGAGGTCAGACCATTTATACGCACTTCAGCACTCGGCGGTCCTGTTCTGTGAGCTGGATGTCCTTTGGGTGGTGGACCATTCTTGATACACACAGGAAACTGTTGAGCGTAAAAAACCCAGCAGCGTTGCAGTTCTTGACACAATCCGGTGTGCCTGGCACCTACTACCATATCCCATTCAAAGGCACTTACATCTTTTGTCTTGCCCATTCACCCTCTGAACGGCACACATACAAAATCCATGTCTCTGGTTGAAGGGGATTTCACAAGTGACATAAGGGATCATAGCTTTAACCTGGATTCACCTGGTCAATCTATGTCATGGAAAGAGCTATATCTATATGTTGACCATCTAAATATCTATATCTATATGTTGACCATCTAAATATCTATATCTATATGTTGACCATCTAAATGTCTATATCTATATGTTGACCATCTAAATGTCTATATCTATATGTTGACCATCTAAATGTCTATATCTATATGTTGACCATCTAAATATCTATATGTTGACCATCTAAATGTCTATATCTATATGTTGACCATCTAAATATCTATATCTATATGTTGACCATCTAAATGTCTATATCTATATGTTGACCATCTAAATATCTATATCTATATGTTGACCATCTAAATATCTATATCTATATGTTGACCATCTAAATGTCTATATATATATATGTTGACCATCTAAATGTCTATATCTATATGTTGACCATCTAAATGTCTATATCTATATGTTGACCATCTAAATGTTTATATCTATATGTTGACCATCTAAATATCTATATCTATATGTTGACCATCTAAATGTCTATATCTATATGTTGACCATCTAAATGTCTATATCTATATCTATATGTTGACCATCTAAATGTCTATATCTATATCTATATGTTGACCATCTAAATGTCTATATCTATATGTTGACCATCTAAATATCTATATCTATATGTTGACCATCTAAATGTCTATATCTATATGTTGACCATCTAAATGTCTATATCTATATCTATATGTTGACCATCTAAATGTCTATATCTATATCTATATGTTGACCATCTAAATGTCTATATCTATATCTATATGTTGACCATCTAAATGTCTATATCTATATCTATATGTTGACCATCTAAATGTCTATATCTATATCTATATGTTGACCATCTAAATGTCTATATCTATATGTTGACCATCTAAATGTCTATATCTATATGTTGACCATCTAAATATCTATATCTATATGTTGACCATCTAAATGTCTATATCTATATGTTGACCATCTAAATGTCTATATCTATATGTTGACCATCTAAATGTCTATATCTATATGTTGACCATCTAAATGTCTATATCTATATCTATATGTTGACCATCTAAATGTCTATATCTATATGTTGACCATCTAAATGTCTATATCTATATGTTGACCATCTAAATATCTATATCTATATGTTGACCATCTAAATATCTATATCTATATGTTGACCATCTAAATGTCTATATATATATGTTGACCATCTAAATGTCTATATCTATATGTTGACCATCTAAATGTCTATATCTATATGTTGACCATCTAAATGTTTATATCTATATGTTGACCATCTAAATATCTATATCTATATGTTGACCATCTAAATGTCTATATCTATATGTTGACCATCTAAATGTCTATATCTATATCTATATGTTGACTATCTAAATGTCTATATCTATATCTATATGTTGACCATCTAAATGTCTATATCTATATGTTGACCATCTAAATGTCTATATCTATATGTTGACCATCTAAATGTCTATATCTATATCTATATGTTGACCATCTAAATGTCTATATCTATATGTTGACCATCTAAATGTCTATATCTATATGTTGACCATCTAAATATCTATATCTATATCTATATGTTGACCATCTAAATGTCTATATCTATATGTTGACCATCTAAATGTCTATATCTATATGTTGACCATCTAAATGTCTATATCTATATGTTGACCATCTAAATGTCTATATCTATATGTTGACCATCTAAATGTCTATATCTATATGTTGACCATCTAAATGTCTATATCTATGTTGACCATCTAAATGTCTATATCTATATGTTCACCATCTAAATGTCTATATCTATATGTTGACCATCTAAATGTCTATATCTATATGTTGACCATCTAAATGTCTATATCTATATGTTGACCATCTAATTGTTTATATCTATATGTTGACCATCTAAATGTCTATATCTATATGTTGACCATCTAAATGTCTATATCTATATCCATATGTTGACCATCTAAATGTCTATATCTATATGTTGACCATCTAAATGTCTATATCTATATGTTGACCATCTAAATGTCTATATCTATATGTTGACCATCTAAATGTCTATATCTATATGTTGACCATCTGAATGTCTATATCTATATGTTGACCATCTAAATGTCTATATCTATATGTTGACCATCTAAATGTCTATATCTATATGTTGACCATCTAAATGTCTATATCTATATGTTGACCATCTGAATGTCTATATCTATATGTTCACATCTAAATGTCTATATCTATATGTTGACCATCTAAATGTCTATATCTATATGTTGACCATCTGAATGTCTATATCTATATGTTCACCATCTAAATGTCTATATCTATATGTTGACCATCTAAATGTCTATATCTATATGTTCACCATCTAAATGTCTATATCTATATCTATATCTATATGTTGACCATCTAAATGTCTATACAGTGGGGAAAAAAAGTATTTAGTCAGCCACCAATTGTGCAAGTTCTCCCACTTAAAAAGATGAGAGAGGCCTGTAATTTTCATCATAGGTACACGTCAACTATGACAGACAAATTGTGAAAAGAAATTCCAGAAAATCACATTGTAGGATTTTTTATGAATTTATTAGCAAATTATGGTGGAAAATAAGTATTTGGTCACCTACAAACAAGCAAGATTTCTGGCTCTCACAGACCTGTAACTTCTTCTTTAAGAGGCTCCTCTGTCCTCCACACGTTACCTGTATTAATGGCACCTGTTTGAACTTGTTATCAGCATAAAAGACACCTGTCCACAACCACAAACAGTCACACTCCAAACTCCACTATGGCCAAGACCAAAGAGCTATCAAAGGACACCAGAAACAAAATTGTAGACCTGCACCAGGCTGGGAAGACTGAATCTGCAACAGGTAAGCAGCTTGGTTTGAAGAAATCAACTGTGGGAGCAATTATTAGGAAATGGAAGACATATAAGACCACTGATAATCTCCCTCGATCTGGGGCTCCACGCAAGATCTCACCCTGTGGGGTCAAAATTATCACAAGAACGGTGAGCAAAAATCCCAGAACCACACGGGGGGACCTAGTGAATGACCTGCAGAGAGCTGGGACCAAAGTAACAAAGCCTACCATCAGTAACACACTACGCCGCCAGGGACTAAAATCCTGCAGTGCCAGACGTGTCCCCCTGCTTAAGCCAGTACATGTCCAGGCCCGTCTGAAGTTTGCTAGAGTGCATTTGGATGATCCAGAAGAGGATTGGGAGAATGTCATATGGTCAGATGAAACCAAAATATAACTTTTTGGTAAAAACTCAACTCGTCGTGTTTGGAGGACAAAGAATGCTGAGTTGCATTCAAAGAACACCATACCTACTGTGAAGCATGGGGGTGGAAACATCATGCTTTGGGGCTGTTTTTCTGCAAAGGGACCAGGACGACTAATCCGTGTAAAGGAAAGAATGAATGGGGCCATGTATCGTGAGATTTTGAGTTAAAACCTCCTTCCATCAGCAAGGGCATTGAAGATGAAACGTGGCTGGGTCTTTCAGCATGACAATGATCCCAAACACACTGCCCGGGCAACGATGGAGTGGCTTCGTAAGAAGCATTTCAAGGTCCTGGAGTGGCCTAGCCAGTCTCCAGATCTCAACCCCATAGAAAATCTTTGGAGGGAGTTGAAAGTCTGTGTTGCCCAGCGACAGCCCCAAAACAT